GCACCTTTGGCAGCTGACAGTACAACTACCGACATTGGAACTACGGCCCATTCTGATACATATTCAGGCTTCGCACCTCCTGATGCCCCTTTTCCGACGGAGCAAAGTCCTGCATACCACTACCTCCATCGTGCTCACTTCTCTTCCCGCGTGGTTCACCAGATCCAATTCAAGATCATTACCCACTCCAACAATACCAGGGAGTTATTCATTGAAGAGATCCCCATGTCAGGGCTCTCCAAATGTCGTGACCCCGAGCACTACTTTTACGGTCTTTCGGGCAATTGGGAGTGGTCCCTGCGCACAGCGGATTATTGGCGACATCATTTTGAGATTCCTCTAGTACATGGACATCATCCTTTTCACAATGTTCCCATTGAGACCACGGCACCTACGGAGGCAACCCGCTTTACTCCGAAGATCCAGGAACTGGCTCAACAACTTTCAACCACTTTGACGGCTGCTATGGCATCTGGGGAAATCCACGACACGTGGAGGATGGTCGAAGACATGAGCTTCCGTGACGCGATCCAAACACTTCAAGCTGAAACGAACCTCCCTTCTGAGTGACTGAGCGCGGCTCTGTACATTAGCACCGGACAGCCTTTTGTATTTGAATAATCTTGCCGACATTCACAGCGATGGTCTTCCAAAAATCAAACCCCGCTACACGCGGGGTGTGTGTGTGTAACATCTGAACAGATGTAAAACTTCTATGACTCTAATCTTTTCACAATTGCAGGGGATCTTTTCACATTTGCAGGGGGCATGCGGCCATCATGCAAACGCATGCCAACGAAGCTATGCATGATGGTGGAAGCCGGGGCTGATCACCCTGGTGTACCTGCATTGTTGTGATTACCTGTTGTTCAGGGTTTGCTTCCGTTCAATTGTCAATGTCTGCTGATGGGAAGAGGCTCAACCCAAGAACCTCAATGTCAATTTATTTATTTATTTCTTCACGGTTGCCACAATCTGTTTTGCCTGCATCAGAACCTTCCTCAGTTTTTCGCCGAAACCATGTCGCCGACAGTATTTTGATTTTTTGAATTATTTCGCCGAAACCATGTCGCCGATGTATTTGGGGTATTTTGTCACATCCACGTCGCCGATTCATTTATTTATTTTGATGACGATCTTGGCCATGGAAATCATTCAGGAGAACTTCTATTATTCGTAGGGTGCATCGTTATTTTCGTTGTTTCATATCCATATCTAATCTGCATGTTTCAGGATTCAGTTCCTGCCGGATCATATAATGATCCATTCTTGTCTAGTGTGTGACACATCTGTACAGATGTAAAACTTCTATTAATATATATCTATAAGCGGGGGGTCACCGGGGTCCCGGGGGGGTCGGTGACCAACGAAGACACCTCCCCGGGACCCGTGAAAACGTACCCGCAGGACTTCGGTGGTGCACCTGGGCGCATTTAAGTCGCAGCTGGTGGCCACCGTAGTCCTATATATATATATATACTCATCCTTAATTAGGTAACTAATCTAATTGCATGTTACAGGACTCAGTTCCTGACGGATCATATAATGATCCATTCTTGTCTAGTGTGTGTGTGTGTGTGTACCATCTGAACAGATGTAAAACTTCTTATCTTGCAGGGGGTCACCGGGGTCCCGGGGGGGTCGGTGACCAACGAAGACACCTGCCCGGGACCCGTGTAAACGTACCTGCGGGACTGTGGTGGTGCACCTGGGCGCATTTAAGTCGCAGCTGGTGGCCACCACAGTCCCATATATATATATATATTATATATATATATATATTTTTTTTCATTTCTCCTGTTAGGTTTTACTGGGGTGTTTTTTGCACGTCCGATGCATTCCACATCAACAATTCGATAAGATGTTTCTGAGCAAGTGTGTCACTCATACCGTTGTCCGACAAGGTGGTATGAGCCCTTCGGGGAAAGCCTTTCTAGGCTAAAAATTGACGGTAACACGATGTCTGAATTTACACTTTTGAATTAGTAATTCGTTTAAGTACAGTGAACAGCCAGCCTTTTCTTCCTTGTCTCACCCGTCGATGTCGTTTGGTTGAACAACTGCCCGCTGTACCAGGGACTCACCATTCGTTTGGATTGACACTGCATAGTTGAAGGTCGCGACAACAATCTTTCCTTTCTCAAGAGACAGCCATTCCGCAGCCATTTTCACATGAGTTCACAGGCAACAGGACATCCTTGCAGGTATGGTACTTCTTTCTTTTATGGTCGTTGGTGAGGTTCAATTGTGCACGTAATTCAAGGGTTGAACACGTAAGCTGTCCAGAGGGTTGTGACTTGAACTCTGGCCATTGAGCCTAACGAGGGGACTCCTGCATGCTACTGTGGATGCATCAATTAACTAGTTCCCCATGGGTCCCTTTTCTCATGTGTTTCTGCGTTCTCCTCCCTTCAGGTAGGTTGGGTCCTGCGCGTGCCGAGGTAGGCGTAGGTTTTCGCAGTGTTAGGTTGGTTCAGGCGCTTCTGTCCTTCCCCCCCCTCCGCTGGTCTTGTTCCGTTGTCCGTCGGCCTCCGCTTTTCTTTTCCCTTGCCTTTTCAGGGTTTGCCCGTTTCGGGCCAGGTGTGTCGTGTTGGTGTTCTCTCTGTCCCTCTTCTTTTGCGTTCCCCTCTTCGCGTCCTGGTTAGGTATTGTTCATTTCATTTTCATTGTCATCCCACTTTCATTTTCATTTCATCTGCCCCGCCGCGGTGGGGCGTGTGTGTGTACCATCTGAATAGATGTAAAACTTCTTATCTTGCAGGGGGTCACCGGGGTCCCGGGGGGGTCGGTGACCAACGAAGACACCTCCCCGGGACCCGTGTAAACGTACCTGCGGGACTGTGGTGGTGCACCTGGGCGCATTTAAGTCGCAGCTGGTGGCCACCACAGTCCCATATATATATATTATATATATATTTTTTTTCATTTCTCCTGTTAGGTTTTACTGGGGTGTTTTTTGCACGTCCGATGCATTCCACATCAACAATTCGATAAGATGTTTCTGAGCAAGTGTGTGTGTGTGTACCGTCTGAATAGACGTAAAACTTCTTATACTTTATATATTTATATATGCGGGGGGTCACCGGGGTCCCTGGGAGGTCGGTGACCATCGAAGACACCTCCCGGGGACCCGTGTAAACATACCCGCGGGACTGTGGTGACGCACCTGGGCGCAATTGTAAGACGCAGCTGGTGGTCACCATAGTCCCATATATATATATATATATTTCATCCATATCTGAGTAACTAATCTAATCTGCATGTCACAGGACTCAGTTCCTGCCGGATCATATAATGATCCATTCTTGTCTAGTGTGATTTCCATGGTGGCTCCGACATGGTGCCATGGAGCCAATTGAGGCAACCCTCTTCAGGGTGAGTGTTGACAGTCTTGAATTCTGAATTCACACATTTTAAATTGGTAATTCATCTAAGTAAATCGCAACAGTCGGCCTTTCTGTTTTGCACCTTTTGTGATGTCCCGCGCTTCCGGCTGTCCCTTGAGATCCTTTGTGAATTGCATTCTTTGCAGCGAGAAGCCGTGCTAAACGTCGGAAACCTCCTTTTTGCAGCTCTTTTACAGCGACATTGCATCATGTCTCGACACTGGAAACAGGCAGGCACACGACTTGCAGGTGTGGTATTCCTTTCTTTTGATGGTTGTCTGGTGAGGTGAAACATTTTGTGCATCTAATTCGATGGAATTTGGAAGCTGTCTTATGCCATTGCCGCACGACTTGACCACGGTCCCGGTGCAGGGAATAATCGCACGACATTTTAGGCAGTTAGGGACTGAATCCTGTTTGTTGTTTGGTTTTGTTTTCACCAACTAGTTCCCCATTGGTCCCCTATCTCATGCTTCCTTCCCCCCCCAGGTAGGTTGGCTCCGTCGCGTGCTGAGGTTTTTGTAGGTTTTCGCTGTGTTAGGTTGGTTCAGGCGCTTCCGTCTTCCCCCCCCTCCGTTGGTCTTGGTCCGTGTCCGTCGACCCTCCGCTTTTTCTTTTCCCTTGCCTTTTCAGGGTTCGCCCGTTCCGGGCTAGGTGTGTTGGTGTGTGTTTTCTCCTTCCCTCTTCTTTTGCGTTCCCCTCTTCGCGTCCTGGTTAAGTAACTTTCATCTCATTTTCACTCTCATCTCATCTTTCATCCCCTGTTCATCCTCATCTTCATCTCATGTTTACGCGCACCACCCTGCCGGAGGCGGGGTGTGTGTGTGTACCGTCTGAATAGACGTAAAACTTCTTATACTTTATATATTTATATATGCGGGGGGTCACCGGGGTCCCTGGGAGGTCGGTGACCATCGAAGACACCTCCCGGGGACCCGTGTAAACGTACCCGCGGGACTGTGGTGACGCACCTGGGCGCAATTGTAAGACGCAGCTGGTGGTCACCATAGTCCCATATATATATATATATTTCATCCATATCTAAGTAACTAATCTAATCTGCATGTCACAGGACTCAGTTCCTGCCGGATCATATAATGATCCATTCTTGTCTAGTGTGTGTGTGTGTCTGTATTTGGCCGTTCTTTCCTTCTTCTTCTGAATGAAATCTGAACAACATGTTCCACCAAACCACCAGCCCAAACCAACAATCAACAAATTCGCTGATGCTACATGAGGCCATAATCATTTGTTTATTCATATTCTGATCCAAACGACTCTCAATCCATCAATCCGACTAGATGGTCATTCTCAACAACAATTTCAAGGGATATCATATCCCCCAAAAGAACACGTCCTTTCATCTCCAGGCTAAATGTTCATCAAACCTCTGAAAATTGTTTTTCCATTTTAAATCTAATAGCATTCAATCATCCATTTTCAAAACAAGTCAATTTACCCCAGTTTCCACGGTAAAACCCGCTCATGAAACTAGAAATATATGTTAACGCTGAAATTTTCTTGCCGAAAATTTCCAGGTTACATCCATTACCTATATCAGTTTATATAGAAATATTTCGTGATATTTCTATCTCAGAATTCCTATTTCCTCAGGTTACATGTTCATCAAATTGGTGAACTACGCCCTCTTCTTATGGTTTCCCTTCTATTTGTCCGAGGGCCTCGGCTTAGACAGGTCGCTGTCGTCGTTGATGGCCACCCGCTTTGACCTGGGCTTCATCTGTGGGGCCATCCTGGCGGGACTGCTGAGCGACGTGACCACGCATTGGGCACGGATGCCCATGAGGAGAACCGGGGAGAACCGGAGAACCAGGGGAGAACAGGAGTTAGACATGTTAATTTCTGTTTTTATGTGTTAATTTAAGCAGCTTTAGAAGTTTACTACTTAGCTAAGTTGGTTTGGTTCACAAGGTCACAGCGGTCAAAACTCATTTTGGTTGCTCAAAGCAGGCTATTATTTGGCCACGGCCAGCTATGGTATCAACTGACGGAGTTTGCACTACCAGTAGCCACTAACCTGGTGAGTCAGTCCCGGATTGGGGCTATCCCAAATAGAAATGTCAGAGTGGGACTGCCGTCATGGGTTTTCTTCAACATGCATTGTTTGCGAAACCCTATATATTTAGTTAATTCGTGCACCGTCTATGTCAAAGTTATGAGGATTAAAAACGACAAAAACATGTGCCACGTGCTAAGCACACACTCTGACCATCTCCCCTCGGAGGAGCCCAGTGGTGAGTGGTTTTCTGCTCTTTTCGTTGATTCCCATGGGGGTGATGCGCTTTTCAACCCAGCCCGACGTGCCCCGGCGACTGGGGATGGTGGATACCCCAACAGTTGCTATTTTTCCTATTTTTCACGGGGAAAATGAAGATGAACCCTGGCATTTTGAGGTATTTCTAGATAGATTCAGGTTGGGAAAAGGGAAGATTTGAAGGAGAATCAAAGACAAGTGAGTCTGGGATCCTGATGCTTTTGGATTGCTGAGCGCCACTGAAAATTCAGTGTTGCTTCTCTAACAGTGTGTATTACTCAAAAAACACGCGGGCTTTGGGGCATTCTTTCTGTTTGCATGATTTTTTCCAACATTTCATGGAATCCTCTCAAAGATTCGTCATGGACCCAATCATTCTTTCGGGGGGCAACCAGCTCGCGATCGGCCTATTGTTGAAGGGTCACCATGAGGTTTCATCAAGTTTGCCCCATCCTGAGATCATATATAAGGTCTCGGATGAAACCATGGTTCCCCATGAAGTTTTCCCATCCACTTAATGCTCTCTGGCCCACAAAGCATCATTTTCCTTCCAAAATGGGCAATCAATAATAGGTACTTTCAGACATGAGTTTCCGCAATTTTCAGAATTAGCCAATTTCTCATCATTTTACGAGTCAGCATCAAAAATGGTTCCCCCATCCCCCATGGACAGAAACACACCCGTCCGAGGTCATCAAGTGGGCGATCTTCTGCTGTGGCATTCTCCAGGGCGGCCCAGCTGATGCCTTGACCTCTGCCGTTTCGGTGGATCTGGGGAAGCATCCGCGGCTGCAGGGCCAGCGTGCCGTCTCAACCGTCGCCGGCATCATTGATGGTACTGGGGCCGTGGGGGCAGCGGTGGGGCAGTATCTCGTGGGATCGCTCAGTGAGACTCGGATGACTTGGGAGATCTGAGATTTGGCTCTTTGGAGTTTTGCTGAATTTTTGTGGAGAGTTTCTGGAAGTTTTTGAAGTGACTTACTCAAAAAAAAACACCTCAAATTGAGGTTTGAGTCCTTGTACTGTGACAAGCACCCAGGATATTTATGGCTGGAAGTCCGTCTTCCTCTTTCTGTTGATCTGCTTGGCTTCGGCCTTTGTGCTGTCCCTCCTTCGACTCTTCAAGGTGCCACCGGTGTAGCCTCCGAGAATCTAACCTGACAAAGGATACAATGGATATTCCACAGTTTTAAGCCAAAAATAATGGAAAATCATCCTCCGATGGTTTTGGACATGAAGGATTTTCCATTTCTTCTTTATCAACGACTGGAGGGCAAATGTTGACCCAGGATGAAAACCCTTCCTGGCTATTCACAGGTGCAGTACCCTCAATTCCAGTGAAGTGCATTTGGTTGAATCCTCCCCTCCCAAATCGACTGCAGCTTTGGGTTAAAAGAAACAACATGATTGCCAAACAAAAAAGAGCATGCAATATATTTTTTGATCCAACCCATTTTCAAGAACAGACCGCGCATACCTATTGTTTTGTTTGACTCACGTCCCATTTTTGCCATGTCGCTAAATATAACTCTAGACCTATAAAATGTCTAAAAACCCTGGTGCCTGCAAAATGGCAAGAAAGAACATATTGAAGAGGCGAGGGCATAGGCTGGATGATATTTTTTTATTCTCTACAAAATGGCCTCGCAAACTTGCAATATTTTTCCAAGTTTGATTTTTTACGGAAGATGGTTTTAAACAGTTTTTTGTTTTCCCTTTTGCAGAGCCAAACTTTCCAGATCTTAGCTGCGGCCCAACAGCTTATATCTATAGAATGAAGCCCCTCTCAGTTGCAGGCATCCCCATTTCATACGTATGGATGTGTCTGACAATGGGGGTACCCAAAATAGAAATTCCAATGGGAAAATGATGATAAACCATGATAAACCATTGTTTTTTTTTGGGATATCCCATTCTCAGACCCAAAAAAGGTCCTTTTTATGGGGTTGAAACCGTGGAAACCTGTACCATCCTAGGTAAACCCTACCGCCTACCGCAACGGTCAGGAGCTAGCGGAGGTGCGCCAGATGCGCGCCAAGGAATTCATGGATGTGGAGCCCGAATCTTCCGACAGCGAAAACTCACCGTGCGAAACTTCAGGCAGCTATTGCTGAAAACTTCAGGCAACTTTGTTGAGTTGGAATGTTTTGGGGATTTATTCGACTCCCATTTTTTGGTCGTTTTTTGGAGTTTGAATTTGGGAAAACTGCGCCACAGCTGGTGTTCCCCAATAGCTTTAGCTGAGGGTCTCAGCCCAGATAAAGGTTCTGGTTGGGGTTAAGGGATGACTGGCCGCTGTTCGTACCCCCTTTGCTGTGATGCCGGGTTTATCTTTCCGGTTTCGTGCTTAAGACGACTGACAAACATGGTCTTGCAGACCAGCTTCTCAAGTTATTGGGGATAGGCATCAATAGATGCAGGCAAGTGTTACAAGGTAGACTGGTTTCACACCCCAGGTTGAAGGATAAATGTTGTCACATGTCCTGTCACCTACATCGTTTCAAATCCACTTTCCATGGATGGATCTCGGCAGATATCCAGTCAAAATCAAACAACGTGTCTTTTGTGATCGCATTTTGCCTCCTTGAGCAAAAAACTAAGTCCGGGCTCGATCATATTTTCAAAGGGGATATGTGTATACACACACACACGCATTTCTTGATACTGTATATTATATACACGATAATATTGGCAATTTTTCTGGATTCCCACCGTTGACTTTCAGGCCAATGAGCTTGAGTGATGGCGTTTGATGGGTCGCAAGAAGCCTCTTGAGTTTGTGACCTCGCGTAGTAGTGGGCCCAAAGAATGATGGCCTGACGTGTCTCAATAGGTGCTGGAAGGTTGGACAAAAACCGTTGTCCTGATGCGGCGATTCGAGCCCCTTATGACATAGTCCAGTCACACCATCTGTGGAATCCAAACGTGACAATCGGATTTAGTTTTTTTTTTTTCTGGGGGCAGAGTCACATTGAGCACGCAGGAGGTGCGTAAACCGATTTCGCCACTTCACGCCACTTCACGCCACTTGAAGTGGCATGAAGTGGCATGAAGTGGCATGCTCACGGTGCGACCGCCACTTGAAGTGGCATGAAGTGGCATGCTCACGGTGCGACACGCCACTTGAAGTGGCATGAAGTGGCATGAAGTGGCATGCTCACGGTGTGACACGCCACTTGAAGTGGCATGCGCCACTTGAAGTGGCATACGCCACTTGAAGTGGCATACGCCACTCGAAGTGGCACGCCACTTGAAGTGGCATGCGCCACTTGAAGTGGCATGAAGTGGCATGCTCACGGTGGGACATTACGACTACGACTACTGTTACGACGACGCGTACTACTATTACTACTGCTACTGCTACTGCTGCTACTACTACTACTACTACTACTACTACTACTACTAGTACTAGTACTACTACTACTACGACGACGACGACTACTACTACTATTACTACTACTACCACTACTACTACTACTACTGCTACTACTACTACTACTACTACTACTACTACTACTACTACTACGGCTACGACTACGACTACGACTACGACTACGACTACTTCTACTACTGCTACTTGTATACTACTTGTATACTACTTGTATACTACTTGTATACTACTTGTATACTACTTGTATACTACTTGTATACTACTTGTATACTACTTGTACTACTACGACTACGGCTACGACTACTTCTACTACTGCTACTATTACTACTACTACTACTCTACTGCTACTACTACTACTACTACTACTACGACTACGGCTACGACTACTTCGACTATTGCTACTACTACCACTTGTACTACTACGACTACGGCTACGACTACTTCTACTACTGCTGTTACTACTACTCCTACTCCTACTATTACTACTGCTACTGCTACTACTACTTCTGCTACTGCTACTACTACTACTACTACTTCTACTAATACGACTACGGCTACGACTACTCCTGTTACCATTACCACTACTACTACTACTACCACCACCACCACCACCACCACCACCACCACCAATGGCAATTTTAGATATCTGCCAGCGAGTTTTCAAGTTTCTTAGGTGACGAGGATGTTCCCCAGTGAGTTTGTGAAATTTATTGGGTGACGAGATACTGCCACCACGCTTCGTGGTGGGGAGTATCTCGTCCCCCACGATGCCGCAGAGGAAATAGCGATCAGTTGTTTTCCGGAACAACCATGGTTCCTGATTCGCAACAGGCTGACAAATCGGCAGCAAATTTGGACGGCCGGTGGGTAAGACAAATGTGCCAGACCACAAATAAAATACCAGTGGTACCCGCACGAAGCGAGGCGGAAGTTGCCTTAAGGATATATAAGACCTTTCTCATCTATAGAACTTGCATGCGCCGTGCGCCAGCCAGGCCCGTGCGTGCGTGCACTCTGCGGAAGTTGTGTCCTGTTTCGCACGTCACATTTGCAGCTCCACTTCGCACTTCGCACTTCTCACTGCATTCTTCACACTCCACACTTCACACTTCACACTGCACTCTTCGCACTCCACACTTCACTTCACACTGCGCTCTTAAGACTGCACACTTCGCACTTCACACTTCAAACTTCACAGTCCGCACTTCACACTTCACTCTTCACACTGCACTCTTCACGCCCCACATTTCTCACTGCACTCTTCACACTTCACACTCCACACTTCATCTCATCTGAGCTCTTCTCACCTTATCCCAGCTCATGTCTTCTCATCTCATCTCTTCTCATATGTCACGCAAGCTTCCATGAATCGCTTCCCAGTACTACTCGTACTACTAAGGACCTTGCATGCGCCGTGCTCCAGCCAGGCCCATGCGTGCGTGCTTCGTGCGAAGCTGTTGCAGTGTTGTGGCCAAGAACATAAGAACATGACCTGCGCGCGACACCGGTGCAATGCAAACAATTTCCTCAGACTTCACATTGCCTTCTTCACACCCCACACTCCACACTTCACACTTGCACTTCATCTCAACTCATCTCATCGGAGCTCTTCTCATCTCATTCCATGTCTTCCCATATGTCAGCTAAGATCTTCTTGGCTATTTTCATAACAAGCACTTTCCAGTAATGATGTCTACTACAAAAGCTTGCAAAAACCAGTTCCCAGTACTAATCTGTACTACAAAGCTTGCACAAAACACGTTCCAGTACTACTTTGTACTACAAAGCTTGCACAAAACACTTCCCAGTACTACTTTGTACTACAAAGCTTGCATAAAACACTTCCCTGTACTACTTTGAACTACAAAGCTTGCACAAAGCAATTCCCAATACTACTTTGTACTACAAAGCTTACACAAACTACTTCCCAGTAACCGATGTCTACTACAAAAGCTTGCAAAAACCACTTCCCAGTACTACTTCGTACTGCAAAGCTTGCACAAAACACGGTCCAGTACGACTTTGTACTGCAAAGCTTGCACAAACTACTTCCCAGTAACCGATGTCTACTACAAAAGCTTGCAAAAACCACTTCCCAGTACTACTTCGTACTACAAAGCTTGCACAAAGCACTCCCCAGTACTACTTTGTACTACAAAGCTTGCACAAACCACTTCCCAGTACTACTTTGTAATACAAAGCTTGCGCAAAGCACTTCCCAGTACTACTTTGTACTACAAAGCTTGCACAAACCACTTCCCAGTACTACTTCGTACTGCAAAGCTTGCACAAACTACTTCCCAGTAACCGATGTCTACTACAAAAGCTTGCAAAAACCACTTCCCAGTACTACTTCGTACTACAAAGCTTGCACAAAGCACTCCCCAGTACTACTTCGTACTGCAAAGCTTGCACAAAGCACTTCCCAGTACTACTTCGTACTACAAAGCTTGCAGAAAACACGTTTCAGCTTTGTACTGCAGTGCTCGCACAAACCACTTCCCAGTACTACTTCGTACTACAAAGCTTGCACAAAGCACTCCCCAGTACTACTTTGTACTACAAGGCTTGCACAAAGCACTTCCCAGTACTACTTTGTACTGCAAAGCTTGCGCAAACCACTTCCCAGTACTACTTTGTACTACAAAGCTTGCACAAAGCACTCGCCAGTACTACTTCGTACTACAAAGCTTGCAGAAAACACGTTCCAGTACTACTTTGTACTACAAAGCTTGCAGAAAACACTTCCCAGTACTACTTTGTACTACAAAGCTTGCACTTTAAGTGGCATACGCCACTCGGAACTCGAAGGCTACACAGTCAGCACGCCACTCGAAGTGGCATACGCCACTCGAAGTGGCATACGCCACTCGAAGTGGCATACGCCACTCGAAGTGGCATACGCCACTTGAAGTGGCATACGCCACTCGAAGTGGCACGCCACTTGAAGTGGCATGAAGTGGCATGAAGTGGCAAAATCAAAATCCACCACATTTGCTCGTTCTCTGCAGAGTCATCAATGAACAGTTTATTTTGGGGGTCTGCCTTTCACGATGGGGTCGATTTCGACCACTCACTTTATTATTCTAAGTTTCCAGACTCCATAGATGTCCGTTGTCCCGCTGGTTGATGAAAAAAGGGGTAGCCCCAGTTTTTCACATTGTGGATTTAAGCGGTTGAACCTCCCATTCTACCTCTGAAGATTTTCATGTTGCGTGTTTTTTCTTACAGCCTCCAGGCCAAATTGGACACCCTGGTGCTGCCTGAGAGTGCTTGGGCATGGACTGTCTCTTGGCTCAATAAATTGCAGGTGGCTCTCCAAGTTTTGGGTTGAACAACCAGATTTTTTTGGGGAGAAAAAAACCCACACCAATATTTGGGACGAAGGACATTGTTGAAACTTGATAAGAAGCTGACGGTCGAAGCTTGAGGGTAAGACCCAAGACTTCGGGGCAACAAAAAATCCGTGCACATGACGATCTAAAGTTTGAGATGCCGCTTGTCTGCCTTAGGAGAAGACCCTGAAAATGAGGCCTTCCTGCAAGAAGCAGGCACGACCGTCCTAGATGGACAAATCTTTCATCGTTGGAGGTTGCTGAAATTGCCATGGAATTGAATACATGGTTGATTGGGTGTTTGAACATGCTAAACAGAATGTTCAGATTGCGCGGAAACACAAACACATGCTGTTTCTTGTAGATGTTCGGGATGTTTGGGCACCCAAACCGATTGCTTCCCTTGAAAACTCTGAGATTTTTTGTTGGTCTACCCTGCCGCGGCAGGCCTGCATCTTCGTTAACTCCATCTTGAAGGCAAGTCAATGGAGTCCAGCCACATTTTTTCTGGCCGGAAATGGGTGGAAAACTGGCCTGTGACGTCGCCGAAGGACGGGGAAACCGCTGCAGCTCTCGTTTTTGCGGAAACATGGCGGAATCACTTCATACTGTGTATTTTTTTTTTTTAAATGTGTATCTATATATATATATATTATATGTATGTAATGCAGTGGTAAGGACACTGGTAATGGTAGTGGTAATGATATTGTTAAGCTTTGTATAGCTTTCTAATGTATGTATGCATATACTCTTCTCTCGGTATCGAAGCTTGGCGATGTTTTGCCCCCTCTTCAAACCTTTTCGTTTCTAAATCGTTTGTACTATTGCACTTTTTTTTACCCATATGTTTTTGGACCGGAGGTCTTGCATGAAGAGCATCAACTGTGTGAAGCTCAACACACTTGGTCCCGGTGGATGAGCTGCATTGCTGACCGCTGAATTTTGTTGAGCTAAAGTGGTAAAGCATGGTAAAGCCCCAAAATTCTGGTGAAATCCCGATTTTTCACTGGTGACGTCTCGATTTTCTGCTATCTCTGAGGCCTTCCTCAGAGCTCCTGGACGAATTGGTGGCGCTGGCAGATGGCGAGGACCGCTAGCCATATCACCTGTGCATATACATCAACAATCAAGGATCAAGGTAGATCAAGGTCATACATCATAATTAATCTATGTTTTGTATCATTATGAGATTCGAGCAGTTCATCAGCAGTCGGTCAATGAATCAACCAACCAATGAATCAGCCAATCAGTCAGTCAGTATCATCAGTATCATCAATAAACACACATATCAACAACCACACACATGTACGCATACACATTACATATCATATATACAGTACGTATGACATGTACTCTATCTAATCTATCTATCTATCTATCTACCTATCTATCTATCTATCTATGTATCTATGTACCTATCTATCTATCTATCTATCCATCGATCTATCTATCTATCTACCTATCTATCTAGCTACCTATCTATCTATCTATCTATCTATCGATCGATCGATCGATATATCTATCCATCTTACTTACTTACTTACTCACTCACGAACTGACTTACTTACTTACCGACTTACTTACTTACTTACTTATATTATATTATATTATATTATATTGTATGATATTATATGATATTATATGATAATATATTATATTATATTATATTATATTATATTGTATGATATTATATGATATTATATGATATTATATGATAATATATTATATTATATTATATTATATTGTATGATATTATATGATATTATATGATATTATATTATATTTTATGAATATATACACATATATATATATACCGTTACATTGCATATGTATATACATATATATCTACAGTACCACACGTGTTATAGCCACACTTTTCGAAGTCGAGGAGCTGCCACTGGTGATCTCGCCACTGGAGGCCGCCCAGCAAGCGAAGCAGCTCATCGAATTGAAGGCGGGATCACCGGCTGCGATGCGACGGCTGCGACGGCTGCGAAGGTGGAAAAAAACCTGGAAAACCATGGGGATTGGCCAAAACCATGGTGGAGTTTTAATGAGTTTTACCTGAGTTCCGGCTTGTTGGAAGCACTGTCGGAGATGATTCCTTGTGAGCTTGGGGAGTTGACTAGCATCAAGTGGAGTTCACCAATTCATTTGTGTATAACTATATATATATATAACTGTTCCGTGGTTTAAAGTATATTCAACATATTCCATCCATTTCCCTAAAGTAAGATAATGTTTAAAACCCATTTCCACCAAGTCAAATAAACTTTAAACCTGTTTCCACCCAAGTAGAAACTTTCAACCAATTTCCAGCAAGTGAGATAATCTGTTCAACCCATTATCCTGAAACACATAGGGAAGATTTGATCCCAATTTGACCTTGCAAAAAATCGGGACCGCTAGGAAGAAGGCAGTGTTGAGGCCATGAATGCCTGGATGGCACGGGTCATTGGGCTGACTTCAGCGGGCAGCCTCCGGTGGATCCAGCACCAGCTTCCGGATGAAATTTTTCACCAGGAACATGGGGATTCAAAGAGTAACGGATTGAAACAAAAATTGGGAGTCATGTCGATGGATGATTCGCGGGATCCATCCTGCTTGGGATAAGACCCTGGTGATGTGCCCTGCTAGAGGTTCACATTCGACGTGTCGACCATATTTATTGCCATGCGGATTCTGAAACGGCGACATGAGTATGGGTCGAAAGAACATGAAACACGACAAAAAAAAAGGAGGAAACCGGAAACCCCAGATTTTTGATGATTTTTGGATATTTTTGGTTACCTGGTGACTTGACCCCCGCAGCACTGCTGAGGTTGCCCGTTATTTCACCTACTGCCTCAACGGTGTCCAGATGCCCAGCGCGTGAAATTCAAAACTCTGGCCAAGCCCTGGCCAAGTTGAAAACTGTTGGGTGCAGTTCTATGGGACACATACCTCGTGACAATTCCAATAGGGAAATTTATGATGAACCATCGAATTTTAGGGGTCCATTTTCAATCAAACCCATATCCATATATATATATATAGATTGATTTGTCAGCACGCTCGAGAGCTGGTCGAAAGGGAATTTGGATGATGCTGGTCTCCTGTAGATGTTGCTGAACGAAGCAACCCAACCATTCTGCAGATTTACTTGTTTATTTATCTTTTTAAACCGTTGATTTTTGGTGGTTAAATTGTCACCAGCCCCCCCAAACATGCGAGATGGACACACCTAAGCAGCCGAAATCCACTACATCATCAATCATCATTTTCCCAATTTTAATTCAGCACTTGAGAAGTATACCACATTTTTGCACAATCAATGGAATCCCCACTTTTTCCAGGCAACAAAGGATTTCGACGATGTGGATGCCATGCACGAAGGATTTCCACCGTGGTTTCCCCACCGAGGTCTTCTTCAAGAGTTTCCACTTGGATCACGTCTGCAACGCCATTCTGACGCAGAAGCCGTCCGGGCGCTCAGCGCCGACGGGCAGCAAGGGGTCCAAATGGGTGGTTCAGCACCAAAAGCCACCCCCAAAATGGGGATTTCACTGATTTAAGCATCTAAAATGGGGATAGACTTGTGATTTTAGGGAGATGATTTACTCCTTGTATGGACCTAAGTGTTTCAAAGATTGATTATTTGTGGAACCTAGAAAAATCGGAATGATTATCCCGAGTTTCGTAACTTCTGAGAACAGGGACCCTATCCCACGAAATCTCTCGGATATAGGGGGGCATTGTTAGTTCTCCTACTGAGATCAATTTGATAATGACTCAGTAGCAGTAATGTGGGTAAAACAATGTCATAAACAAGCCATTAATGGTCTATACCACCTATATATAAACATGGTGATGACTGGGGGATGGTTTATTGTTTACCCACATATCCACTGTTGACGACTTGTTTTCCCAGTGAAATCTCATAACTTGTTCCTTCGATGTACATCCCAGCCTTCGAATGGTTAACCCAGGTACAACTGGCTATGTATTCCATATATAGCTGGCTGAATCTTACTTCTTAAGCTGTGGTTATGCAACCCACCAATTGGTAACATCTGGTTATGACAAAAAACAAGAAATGACCCATGGTTGACAAGCAATATGTTTGGTAACCCCAACAGATAGAAAATTAACTTGCCAAAATTTAGGAGGATTTTTCCCATAGATTGTCATTTTACACAGCCACAGCCATAGCTTCACAGCCATTTTTAAAGCCATTTGTAAAGCCAAATTTTCCCCATACTTGTTGACCATAGATGGTACATAATTGCCAACCATAGGTTAGCCATGTGTGGTATGGTCAAAAGGTTGGATGTCATCAATCCATTGCAGTGAAACGGATTTACATAGCCATAAATCCAGGATTCCCATTGTGAGAATGGATGACCATACCCCATATATAATATCTATTGTTGCTCACATACCAGTGATATGATTTTCCTATTACATTTCCATTATATTAAATCGAGACATATGTAACCATCATGTCACTATCAATAGATGCGTGCAATTATTCCTATTCTCGAACCGTTAACCAATTCTTACATAAGAGTTATAGTAACTTAATAACCATGGACCATTACATAATGAATGAGCATTGCCAAGATTGTACCCTAGTTGATTAACGTATAGTATATAGTCAGCCATTGAATATAACTATGTAACCATGAAAAAAACAAGTATTGCGTGATCAATAAGTTTCCCATGGTATTATTCCCTATGATTATGTTCCCACTATATAACCATTCAATGAATACCATCATGATATATATATATATACATACATATGCATATCATGGTTATATTTCACCATTCTCATTTCAACTATATTAATGTAATATTTCCACTATATATATATACAGCCATTATCTCAGATCGAAATCATATATATATATACACATACATGCATATACACATATATATATACATATATATATATATGTATACATACATAGATACATATGTATATATATACACATATATATATATATACATATATATATACACATATATATACATATATATATATACATATATATACATATATACATACATATTTAGCATTATATAACCATTATATAGCCATTGTATAACCATTATATAACAATTATATATATTTTTTTAAACACCATTAACCATATAATTTCCACTATATTATATTACTATATTAACGATATAACTTTTATAAGAAAAAAAACATTGTGATTTTCACCAAAGCTTGGATTTCCAGGAACCAGGTGAAGCTGCACGAGGCGATGCTCTTCCTGCTCCATGCCCGACCCAAGGCGCGGAAAAGATTCATGGTGGGTCAATGTGGGCCAATGTGGATGTCGAATCAAATTATGATGGTTAATGATGGTTAATGATGGATAAATTATGGATGAATGATGGATAAATGAATCACAATCCCTGTATGTTGCACGAAGTTGGAAAAAATTCAACCAGTTCTCCTATCAATTTTTGTCAGCGCTAGGTGAATGGTGGGTAAAAATTGGAATTTCAGAATATTTGAACATTCGGAACCCCCATGAGATGCAGGGCTGGGTATTGCGCAAGGTAAATGGTAGTAGATGGCTCACTCAGAACATATATCGCCATGCTCAAGATTGAGCGATGAAACCAGAAAGATTGGGGATGCTCGAAAGAAAACTGAAAAAACATGAAATAGTTCCCCAGCCCAGCCTAAAACGGAGGCTGCTGCTGCAACAGATGGATCTTCCGCAGGAATAATGAAGCTAGAACTGTCCATCTTTGTACGCAATGTATTATATACAGATGGATATGAATGATTCTTAATTCATGCTTTCAACCTCTGGTTTCAGGACCAGATTAGGTGGGGTCGTCATAGTGATGTAATCAAGAGATGGTTGATGTAGAAGTGGAATTCTCATCATCCACTCTGTAAACTGTTTTGACAATCACCAACACTATTGTCCCCAAAAATTTCAATGTCATTCCTTTCCCCAATAATAGGCACCCTCGGAAACAAGTTTATTACTGGCTTTGTTCATTTTGGCACCCCATACCCTCCGGCCTCCGGTAAGTAGACATGGCAGTGGACAGTACACCATTTTCTTCAATGATTTCCCGTTAAAAACCTCCATGGAGTAGATCAAAAGAAGACTTCCCTTCCCATGGATTGATTACCGAAGGGTAAAGGGATGTAAAAGGGATGTTTATTGATAGATGGATGGGATTTTCATTGCCAGCTTCAACCAGTGACAGGACTTGACGCAGCAGGGTACCCCAGAAATATGGGTCAGAAATGGGATCTTTTGTCATCAAAAACCATGGGATACCATGGGGGCATTAAACCAACTATTTGCAGGGATATAATGGGATATGATTAGACTATAACACCAACAAAATAATATGGCTTGGCAAAAAATGGTTTACAAGCCATGGGATTCTTGGGTGCCCTCTTCTCAGACAGAGGCTGGCTTCTGTTCAAAAAGATGTTAGTCGAGATGGAAGCAACGAACAACGAGATGGGGTTGACCATGACAAGTTGGACGTTTTTTTTCACCATTTAACATGAGAATATCGCGAAGAAAGGTCTGTTTCTAGACCAATTCTGATTCCAGATGGTCACCAGGGTTATTCCAGACCATGCGGATCAAGAAAACCGTGAACATCTACTGGGCCCTTGTCAAAGCGCCGATTTCCTTGTTTATTTTTGTTCATCACAGCATTTCTGGGGGTTTCAAACCCCCATTCTTGGTGAAATGCTCCCACTGTTGCATCCACTGATGGGATTTGAGCAGTGTTCAAAACCATGGTGGGTTGATAGGGGATTATACTACCCAGTATATTGGGGCGAATAATCCAATAGGGAAATCCCGTTCTTGACCATCCAATAGGGTCAGGGGTACCAGTGGGAGCTGAGGAAATGGGAGCTGAAGGAGCTGAAACAGCTCCTACTAGACCCAGCGGGGGCACTGAAAGGGTTTCGGCAGTCTTGGGTCCTGGAAACCTTGGGTCCCACGCACTACTTTTAGATGGGGGTTCCATCAGGGATTTACAATGGAAAATCCTATTAAAATGAATGATTTGGAGGTACCCCTATTTCAGGAAACCCATTATTTGTATGCATAGCATCACAAAAGTAGCTGGGGGTGCTGCAACTGTGCCACCACAGAATCACTAGAGTTCACCTGGGCTACTTCACCAAGTCATGTGGCGGGATGGTCCGTATGCCATTCCTGAAAGAATTCACTCTGGGTCTGATTTAGTTGAGCCTAAATTCTGTTATTAACATCCCAACCACTGGGGTTATCTATCTTATCCTGCGGATTTCTATCGGCTTGATATCTTCCACGGATCCATTGGAGATCCACACCTTGGCTGTGCCGGCCTGCAGCCTGTTTCAGACGCCCGTGACCGGCGATCTCCCGCTCGGCGTTTCTCCTTTCGCTCGCGCCATGGTCCCAGGTATCGTCTTGGCGCCCCAGTGCAGCGCTCAACCGGATGAGATCATGGAGGATGTCCCAAGCTTTCCAGAGCAGTTGCTGGACGAATTTCTGAATTTCATCCAGTTTCGAAGAAACCACGATAATCAACACTAGGGTTGATAGATCTTTCCGCAAAACATAGACAGTTTGACACCATTTTTGAGCAAATCTAGTGGGTATGTGGGTACATGTGGGTATCCACACAAGGAATCTCCAAGGATTTTTAATTTTGTTTGTTTGTTGGAAGATCATCCTCGATCTGGGTGCTTTGACGATGGCACGAAAATCAGAATCAATCCATTGATCTTTTTGAACTGCCAAACCAAGGGGGCTCTTCGTGGGTCCCAACGTCACTTGCTCGGTCCAACCACAACTGGAGGAGGATTTGGAGAGCGTTGTTCCTGGTGCTCTGGAGGAGGTCGGTTGTATCAACAAGGATTGGCCGCTTGACCAAGTGATCCAACTTATAGGGGACCAAAAAATCCCCACCAGAGTGATAAACCCACCAGTGGTATGGTTTATGGATGTTTATAGTATTATAGAATATTATAGATGTTTATACTATGCACCACTGGTGCTTTTATACCAATCCCCAGAGGTTCACAGTGCCTGAAGCAGGCGAGATTTCGAAACTCCTACCATTCATGGACCGGCTTCGACTTGGACATTCCCCGCTCTCCGAATCGGGTCCTGCACGAAGACAAGCAATGCGAGATGAAGCAGTTCCTCACGAAACTCCAGGTTCGATACATATTTTTTTGAGCACCGGGATTGCCCAATCTTGGTTGGGAAATACCCATGTTCAAGATGGTAGAAGGGGATTTTCGAGTGCCAAAATGCTGAAATTCTTTCAAAAACTACTTGGTGATCATCCACAATTGACCCAGTGGTAAACTGATTTGGATCTTGAAGTTCGAAGAAACGAATGCATAGATTTTGTTCTTGAAAGCCAGGGAATGGATTCTGTCATTCATATCCAGCATCTGATTGCAACTTTTAATACCATTCTTATAGCTTGTCTACCAAATTTGGTTTGTCAAGTCCCACATCATTGGGGAAACAATGGGAAACAAATCCTATGTAACTAACCATTTCGGGGTTATGGTTATATTATATATATATATTTTATAACCATTTTCAATTATGGGCTAACCACATAATGATAGTTCCCACACGTTGAATTGCATCATGTCATTATGCATTGGATAGTCCCCAGATTAGACTCACGTAATCAGCCGCCCCATGTCGAGGAGAAGAAGCATGTCTTGAAGACTGTTGTTGGGATGAAGCGAAAGAACGACTTTGGAGACAGGGAACTTTTTAGCCAGACACGTTTTTTTTTGTGTATTTTGCAGGCTTCGACGGATTTAATGCATCACATAGGTATGTACGTATGTACAGAGATATATTTCAATATATATATATATACACACGCATACACATACACGCCCACATACACATATATACATATTCAATCATATTCATATTCGAGTCGCTTCGCGACGAGAACTGCCCGCACCCAGGGAATAGGAGAGAGAGGAAAGAAGCGGGCCTATTTGGCCGTCCTTGGCCTTAAGTTGGGCCGAACAGGAGCTCACTTGGGCCCAACTTCGGCGTAGCTGGCTCCAACTTGGCCTCCAAAATAAAATGGCGCAACTTGGGCACATTGGGCTTAGCATGCGCAACTTGGTCCTGGGGGAGCTGGCCCGTTGGGCAGTCCTGGCTGAGATCTAGGAGCTCCAGCCCCTGAGGTGCAGGTCTACTTTTTGATTTTTTTGAAGAGGACCCAAGGGGGTCAGACCCTTGAATTTTATCTCATTCCAATTTCAGGTCAGGCCTGTTGATTTTATCTTTGGAAGGTTGGGCCTTTGAATTTTATTTTCATCCTACTCGAGGTTTGGTACTTTTTTTTTAAAGGAGGGTTCAGCCTTAGCTTTAACCTACACCTTTGATTGGAGAGGGAAAAATGCCAACCTTGATTGAAGAAAGCCCCTGCAAAACTGGCATCAATCACAGGTGCATGAAGCTTATTTTGTTGAGCATTGCTGACGTGTTTATCAAACTCAACGTTCAAAGCAAGTCTCCCCACCTTGAAACCTTATGGTTTTTGATTTTTAACGTCAAGATATTGAAATTGACCCAGACAAAAAGGCTGCCGAATCCTGTGCTTCGACCTAGCGGGGCGAAGGTTGGAGGAAAAACCAAGAACAAAAAATACCCATGCCCCCAACCCTGATAGATGAACCCCTCTGCAAAACAGGCATCAAACAAAGGTGCACAAAAATTATTTTCTTGGGAGAGTTATGACATGTTTCTCTAGCTTTAGCACCGCTGAAGCCCTGTCATCATTATCTTGAAATCAATTTTTGTTGAACTTTCACATCAAGGACAAATATTGAAATTAATCCAAAATACAGGCTACCACATCCTGGATACCAACATCTCACCCGGTCCACCTTCTGCTCCGGGATAGTTGCTTTGACCTAGCGGGGCGCTTGGCCAGAAACGCAGGAAATAAAATCTGTGTCCCCAACCTTGAGATATTAACCCCTCTGCAAATCAAACAAAAGGTGCACTAAGTTTATTTGTTTGGGACAGTTCTGAAATGTGTACTTGTATTAAATAGGGAACAAATCCAAATCCAGAACAAAGTCTCCTCACTGAAATCCATTGTTTTTGAACTTGCATATCAAGGACAAATACTGAAATTGATCCCAAAAGAAGGCTACCAAATCCTGGAAACCAACATCTCACATTGTCCAATCTTTGCTCTGGAATGGTTTGGGCCTAGCGGAGCGAAGCTTGGAGGGAAAGCCTGAAAATAACATCTGTGTCCGTTAACCTTGATAGATGCATCTCTTTTAAAAAACTGGCATCAAAGGTGCGCAAAACTTGTTTTCTTGGGAAGTTGTGACAGGTTTATCAACTTTATCTCGGTTCAAAACTCTTTCAAAGTGTCGGACACCTTATCTAAGGCATGCAGAAAAAACACCGAGGGCTAAAATCCAGGAGGTCCATGGTTAAACGAGATTCACTGATCAAACATATACCTGTTCCAGATCCACAACATGCTCAAATATTTTGAGGAGCCTGACCTTTGGCCATTTTAGAAGGTGCAACATGCTCCAGGCAGAAATCTGCGGTTTACGCATGCTAGACTTGGGCCCCTTAGATTTATCCATCCAGAAGGGCTCAGAAGGGGTCTGCTGGGGTCAGGCCCCCCTGTAAAACAGCCAGTTGGTCTACTATTTCAGGGGTTGGACCCCCCTGCCACCCAACGGGCGCAATACAGGTCCAATGTGGGCAACATGGCCTTGCACGAACATTACAGCCAAAAAATGTTGGAAGTAGCGGTAAACATGCAAGTCTTGAGCGTGTTGCATTGAGTCCGCAAAATAAGTTGGGCCCGCTTGGACCTGGGCTGCTCCTAAAGGGGCCCAACTTCGCCCAGGCCCAAATTGCGCTATCTTGGACCCAACTGGATGTCGGGCTGAAGTTGGGCCCAAGTGAAGCCACGTGATGCACATGGAAGTCCAAATCATGTCCAAAGTGGTGCAACTTGGGACCCTTTGGCGACAGCTTCACGGGCCCGACGGAGACACAACACTTCAAACGAAGCATCATCGACAGCAAAAAAACGTGGACAATACCAGTGAGAATGGGCGTTTTGAGGATTTCGGATTGGGCATTTTGAAGCCATATGGGGCCGAAGTTGCTCCCAAATGGGTCCAAGTTGGGGCTTGCTGGCCGAAGTTGACCTCAAGTGGAGCCGATGTTGCGCAGGTCGGATCGAAACGGTGCATTTGGGCGATGCGGGGCCGATATGCAACATATGCAAATTACCGCAGTCCTCCGCACTTTCTGGCAGCCGGCTGGGTCGAACATGTTTGTGCCAGGTCCATTCGTATCACTCGCTGCTAAAGTACCACACGGTCTGGGACCTTCGGTGCGGGCGGACTTGTTCATGTTTGTATGCAATGCATGACTAAAAGCCTATACTATATTCAAGGAAGAGCGATCCTTTTCGCAGGAGATTTGCCACAGAGCCACCAAGGAGAAGACGCGAACGACTCGAGAGCTGCTTATTTTCCGAACTTCATGTCTAAGCTGTTCGGGCAAAACTAGTGATGTATAGTTAGTGTAGTTGCGACTGGTGCCGAAAAGGCAGCCTTGCCTGTGGCGCAGGCACTTTGAGCAGAAAATTTCAGGAATTGATCTGTGGGTCTTCCTGATTCTTTGATAATTTCTGACCCCTTTGCCAGTTTCAGTAAGTTGGCAATTGGGCAGATGGTCTTTTCCGCAGCTGGTGCCAAAACAGCAGCGATGCTTCTGCGCCAGCGCTTTTAGAAGAGAATGTCAGGAATTGATCTGTGGGTCTTCCTGACTCTCTGGTCCTGTCTGACCCCTTTGCCAGTTTCAGTAACTTGGCAATTGGGCAGATGGTCTTTGATGCTGCTGCGTCAGCACTTTTAGGCAAAAAATCAGGAATTGATCTGTGGGTCTTCCTGATTCTCTGATCATTTCTGACCCTTTGCCAGTTTCAGCAACTTGGCAATTGGGAAGATGGTCTTTTCCGCAGCTGGTGCCAAAACAGCAGCAATGCTGTTGTGCGTCAGACGTTTAAGGAGAGAATTTCAGGAATTGATCTGTGGGTCTTCCTGATTTTCAAACCTTTCAGCCAGTTTTGGTAACTCGGCAACTCGGTGGTTGCTGTCTTTAGGATGGTGCCTAAAAGCCGCTTGCTGCTGTGCAATGACAGATCAAGGTCCTTCAAGAAAAGCACAATGAATCTAACCTGACCCAGGCGACAACTGTTGCAAAGATGAATTTACCTCATAATTTCCAGGTTTCCAACTTTGCCATGTTGTTTTTTTTGGGAGTTGCTATTGCTGGGGGTGGAGCAATCCAGCACTCCTCTGAGGAACTCTTTGAGAAGTACGAGTTCAACAACCATGTGCCTTCGCTGCCAGCAGAAGTTTTGCGCGCAGGATGTGTTTCCAAAAAAGTATAGGAGGAAAACGCAATTGGTCGCGAATTTCACGGGATTCACTGGAGTGCGATGCGCGGAAAAATTGTGGCAAGAAATTGAGGGTTTGGCGCTTTCGCCCAATGAATCTATCTATTTCTGCTAATTAACCAGCTAGTCGTCTTTCCACAAATTTGAATCCTCTTGCAATTCCCCTATGAACCCCCCACACACACACACACACTTGCTCAGAACAGTCTTTGCGAATTTTGATGTGGAATGCATCTTACGTGCAAAAACACTCCAATTAAACCTGACAGGAAAGAAGGATCGAAATGTAACATATCCATCTGAACCAAATCGTTCCCTCTATTGACAGCTGAGAAATACAGATTGCGAAAACCGTACAGGCACTGAGATGACATGGAAAGAAAACTGAGCGTTTGGGTTTGGTTTTGACGGAAAAAGGAATCGGCAAGGTGGTTCTTGGGTTAGCCACGTCCCATCACGGAAACAAAAGCTGATGCAGGTACGTCCAGCTGGCCAAGCTGGATATCCCATTTCACTGGTAGCTTCGTTGGAGACAGTCCCAGTGAAATGCTGTGTCCCCCTGCTTGAAATGAAATGAAATAGTGCCGACAAAAATCAGGGAAGTTTTCCATCGTTTCCCGCGTCAGAAACAAAATGAAGAAGGACCAGGTAAAATCGGAAGTAGAAGTTTTACATCTTTTCAGATGGTTCACACACACGCCCTGCTGACGCAGGGCTTTTTTGATACATGGACAGGTGAGTCACGCTCTGATACGGTCAGCTGGTATCGGATTATGTAATTAAAAAACAGTGACAAGTTAATTACCAACCTCACTCAAGAGTTAACGTGCAGCTCGCGCCCGATCTAGTCGGAGATCTCCGAGATGTCATCCAGTTCATGATTCTGAGCATGTTGGGCAAGAGTCTGCGAAGTGATAGACAAATGGCTGGCAAGGTGGGCCAGGTCGATTGCCGAGAAAAGCTGGATGGGATTGGCATTTGGATCTGCGGAAAGAGTTTCGAGCTTCTCAAGGTTCGGTGCATTATCTGCGTTGAAATGGTGTGGAGTTCCTCATTGGGAAAACCAGCCAAAGTATACAAGTGAATTAATTGGTCGAGCCCTTGTCGAACACGAAAGTCGGGAAATGCCCCTTTGACAACGATGTGGCAACGAGAACGAAATCCGCTAAGAAGCACTTTGGGTGGAGAAGCCGAGAACGGAGACAAGACTTGTGATATGTTGGTGGGACCTTGATAGATCAGTTCCAATGGTTTTGTTTCCAGCATGAAACCGAGGAATCCTTCATCCAGCAGTACTTCATATGGTGGAAGGTCACGAAGACGTGAGTCACCAAAGATGAGGCGGTTGTCAGCATATGTGATATGTCGGATGAATAAGTGGTGATTGCAAAGAATTTGTTTGAAGTTGATGGACCAGATTTGTTTGCTGATGGAGACAACCATGAGGCAGAGTGCTGGAGATAGTGGACTGCCCATGGGGCTGCCACTGTCGAATGCATTTTTGGCCCAGAGCAAACGTCTGCATTTTCAATGCTGACTTGAGTACAGTAAATCAGGAACATCTTTGATGATGATCTTTCTGGTGACGTTAAGTCGACGGAAGGTGCGTCCCTTGATGATGTCGCCTGGATTGTTCGTGTTTCCTGGATAAACCGAGAATGCTTCGTTGTCAGAAACATCCATGTGAGGTCTCAGGAAATCCAAGAGCATGAACCATGCACCGATGAAGCGATCTTGATCAATGCTGTTGAAGAAACCAGCAAGGTCTTGATTGACCAGAATGAGATCTGCGTCAACGGGTGCTGATTTGAGGATGGATAGGAGTGTGTATACATCCCCGGAAGCAAAGTGATTTGGACATGCCACTGGGATCAGTTGAAAGATCATTCTGGCGAGGATGTTGATCATAGGACGAAACGGGGAGTCCACAAAGGAGATGATGGGTCGGCCACTGCGAAATTCTTTCTTCCTTTTTGCCAGGATATAACCAGCTGGCAATTGTCGTCCGTGTCCTACCGCCCAAGGGTAGGGTTTTCCATGTTGTCGGTGTAGAAGATCGACAAGCGATGTGACGATGGATTCAGGATCTTGGGAGACCGGTTCGAAAATGGAGGGATCCTGAAAAGTTTTTTCAATGGCTTGGTGTACAAGCACGGGCAGTAGATTCTCAAAGAAGAGGCTTGTTTGTCTTCACAATGGAAGATAGCGCCCTCGAAGGTTTTTTGAAATGAGTTGATGGATGATTTCGTGATGTGACAAGTGACGTGTTTGGAATGCCCTGTCCACAGATGTTGGCTGAAATCGGAGATCTCTGAGTTTGGCATGGACGGTAGGCCATTTCGCTTTGTCCAGCCGTGAAGCCCAAGTTTGAGCTGGTTTTGGTATTCCTTTTTGGAAGGAAATACCTTGTTCAACAAGGAGCCTTCGGCAATGACAGCCAACTCCTCTGGTACGAGTGAGTGAAGTAGTGAACCTGCTAAGACCCAGTGAGGATCTGGTGGATCGAGAGCAGCTGTTTTGAAAGGTTCCCACTTTTTGCAACAACACGTTGCAGGTTGTGTGGTGTACCAGTCCGCGATGGCCTGCTTGTGATTGCAGAGTTGGTCCAGAACAGCTGCATGTTTGATGAAGACCATCTTGAAAGATGGTGTGTGGCATGGAACTTGGTATGGAAGAACTTGGAGGTGCCACTTTCGTAGGAACTGTTTCAATTGTTGTTGGAGATTGGGAGTGAGGGACCATGGGGCACGGAGTGCCGTTGCTCGTGGAGCAGGTTTTCCTTTGCACCATTTGATGGACGCATCGATTGCATTCAGTGACAGGGTGCGGAAGGGCTCCTGGATGTTGCTTGCCAAACGACGGAGAGCATAGCAGAGGGTGAGACCCCCATCATTGGACCGCAGCATTTTGGTCTGTTCAAATCTGGCTCTCGTGTTGGACCCTAAAGCGTGGATGATGGTCCAAGGTTCCAGTCGGTTTTGAAACCGTTCTGATGTCAAGATCTGACGAACAAGTGTTGGAGTGAACTTGTGTTTGGCTCGACGCCATAACGTGGCCAGACCAAACTGAGCGTTTGTGTTCAAGGCAAGTTTCTTGAGGATGTCTTTCTTGGGGTGAAAGAATTGGCAAATGAAGGGATCTGGGTTGCCATTCTTGAATGATGGCCATTTCAAGACTGCGATAGTCGGCTCTTTCAGTGTATATTGGGATGGGTGCCCAGATATACAGGTTGTCATGTTCCCGCCAATAGCGTAGGGCAAGCTCGGCTTGTACAAGTCGTTCATAGGTGAGTTGAAGATACTTTCTGGAGCGACTGTACTCCCTGTCAAGGGTATGATGCATAGTTGGGCCGATGTAGAACTTGGGCTGCATGTTCACAATGTGGGTGAAACGGATGTAGACGCTTTGAGACTGGAAAAATGGTGTTGAGAAAAGGTTGTGGGCATGAAGTGTTGATCCCCACACATGTGTGAGGTCGGTACATCCTTCCAAAATTGACTTCAGCTTCTGGTTCGGTCGAAGACCATGGATTACGGCAAGCACCATCATGCAGGTTTGGATGATGCGAAAGCCTTGAAAAAGGTGAACGCTAAGAGTCATGGTGAAGGGTGTCAAAATGTAGATGATAAGGATCATCGAATGGAGAATCTGAAGATGGGATTGAAGCACTTTGTGCTTAAGCTTTCTGCGAAGCCAGGGAGGTAGTCAATTGGTAAGACTGATAGCCGCAGTCATGGCACGCAGGAGGTTCAACACATCATAGTTTTTGCCCAAGAGGCTAACCGGTATGCCCATCATGACAGCCACTCGTTCGACAGTTTCAAGGGCTTCCGACGGCTGATGTGACCACCAAGTTTCGGTCTTGGCAATGTTTTCAGTGAGAACTTTCCTCTTTGGCTCAGACAGTGGAAATTCTTTGAGCCATTTGGCGAAAGCTCGCGCAGACAAGGTGGTTGGCATGTGTTGAGCCAGCCATGGATTGACCGTGGAAGGGCAGACCAACAGGCTGGAAGGATCAAATGCTGGTGTTGGTGGAGGTGTTGGGCCCGTTGAGTTGTTCATGAGGGCCCGCTATATAGGTGTATTCGCAGGGCTAGATGCCGATGGACCCGTTCTGGGTGGTGTAGAGTTGTCACCAGGGTCTTCACTTGCTCTTGGTGAGGTCGAAGGAGTTGTTTCATGCGGCCATGGCTGGGACAAAGGGACAGAAGGTGTGCCTGGAGAGCACAGTTGTGTTGGTGGACATGGCATCGTCGGTGAGCAGGGTGGAGTGGCTTGGCGTGATGGTGGAAGATATGGCAAGGTTGGTGGAATTGACGGAGGAGGAGTTGGTGGAAATTGATGAGTTGACCAATTGGTCTGCATCATGGATTGGGACGGATTCATCATGCGTCCCATCATATAAGGTCCCGGCTGGTTTAATGCCAACTGAGGTCGAGCCTGAGGGCGCGGCATGTTCTGAAAGTGCAAAATCGACGAGTTCATAGGTCCACGCCATCTCGGAAAGAATGGTAGTTCTGGACGAGCAGCATGAACTTGTCCACGTGGTTCGGTTCGATTCCGCACAGGCGCCGGCGATCGAGAGCGATCAGAGTCAGCCATGTTTTGACAAACTCGAGATGATCCAACTAGGAAACTGCGAGTTAGATTTCTACAGAGAGAGGTTGTTAACAGAAAACCAGAGAAATCTACTTAAACAAGAAGCCAAAACCAAAGTTCAAGAAACACGTCACAAAATAATGAGGTATGCAAAGTAATCAGCAGCAATATCGTCACTCCCAAGCGCAACTGCAAAATGAAATCAGCGAAATGAAATGTTCTACTAGTAGTAGTAGTAGTAGTAGTAGTAGTAGGAGGTAGGAAGTAGGAAGTAGGAAGTAGGAAGTAGGAAGTAGTAAGTAGTAAGTAGGAAGTAGTAGTAAGTAGTAGTAAGTAGTAGTAAGTAGTAGTAAGTAGTAGTAAGTAGTATTAAGGTGTAGTAGTAGTAGTCGTCGTCGTCGTCGTCGTCGTGGTAGTAGTAGTAGTAGTAGTAGTAGTAGTAGTAGTTGCATTCACATTCTGCTTAGAAAAGCATTCCCCGAAGGGTTCATGCCACCTTGACGAATCCAGCATGAATCACACACTTGCTCAGAACAGTCTTTGCGAATTTTGATGTGGAATGCATCTTACGTGCAAAAACACTCATTAAACCTGACAGGAAAGGGTCGATGACAAGATCCGAGCAGGATCGAAATGTAACATATCCATCTGAACCAAATCGTTCTCCCTCTATTGACAGCTGAGAAATACAGATTGCGAAAACCGTACAGGCACTGAGATGACATGGAAAGAAAACTGAGCGTTTGGGTTTGGTTTTGACGTAATTTGAAAAAGGAATCGGCAAGGTGGTTCTTGGGTTAGCCACGTCCCATCACGGAAACAAAAACTGATGCAGGTACGTCCAGCTGGCCAAGCTGGATATCCCATTTCACTGGTAGCTTCGTTGGACACAGTCCCAGTGAAATGCTGTGTCCCCCTGCTTGAAATGAAATGAAATAATGCCGACAAAAATCAGGGAAGTTTAACATCTTTTCCCGTGTCAGAAATAAAATGAAGAAGGACCAGGTAAAATCGGAAGTAGAAGTTTTACATCTTTTCAGATGGTTCACACACACACACACGCACAAATGCCTTGCTGAAACTTATTCGAGGGTGACGTACCTACAATCCTGCATCCTATAAGCAGCAAAACCAGTGTGAAAGAGCTTCCTACCTCAAAAGATGAGACACCGATGTTGAGATTGGTTGCAGCAAACAGTATGGGGATGGAAGCTTGCTGTCATTTGCATGCTTTTGAACTGGGTATGGGTCAACGCTTGGGTTCTATAAGCCTCCACAAATGCTTGAGTGGCTGGGCTGCGAAGTGCGAGGCGTGGCATGCCGAGCAAATGTATTTGATCCATCCATATGGGTGTGTCTGAAAATAGTGTACCCCTAAACCCAATGGTTAATGATCGTTATCCCTATTAAATGGCTATAATTGGGAATATACCCTATTTTCAGACAAACCCATGTGTATACACATGTACACATATAAATGCTGTATATATATATATAATATGTATACGTAGATTTATATATATGTACACCTCCCAACTCAGCTCACTCTTTTCTGAAGGGCGGGGGCCCATACCATGGGCCCAAAAATGGGGTCATGAATTTGGATGCTGGGCTTCTTATACACAACTTTTTGGCCCGGAGTTTGGCCACCCTTTCGCGGCCGCACGACACAAACAGGAGCGCTCAGTACGGGCAGCAACGACAGATCCACTGGTATGGGCGCATCCACCAACGCAAACTGGCACCTTTTCCCATGACAAACCTTGTAATTTTAAAACGGCGAAGACGGAGAAGGCCCTCCTCCACAAAAAATTGCTGCTTGGAGCTCCCCCGAAGAGGCTGACTACTTGTAAATATACAGTCAAACCCGCTGCTCTTCCTCCATGATGTTTGTGTCAGCTCCTTCAATCTGCATGCTTGCTTCTGAACAGCACGGGCTGCCTTGCCGCTTTTGAGACTTATGTGGTTCCTTTTCGTTTTGTGCTGCGAATCGGGCCCTTTTTAGGGCTGTGGGCATGCATACATTTTGCCTTCCTGACTCTGTACCCTCAACGTATATAGATATATAAGATATAAAAAATATAAAACATATATAAGATATATATAAGATATATATATATATAAGATATATATATATATAAGATATATATAAGATATATAAAAAGATATATATAAGATATATAAAAAGATATATATAAAAGATATATAAGATAATATATATATATATATATGATATATATAAGAGATATAAGATATATAAGATATATCAGATATATAAGATATATATGCATATACATAAACATATACATATACACACATACATATATATATATACATATACATATATACACATATACATATCATATACACATATACATATATACACGTACATATATACATATTCAAAGATTCAAACACATAGACATACATAGATATGTATACGTGTATTTACATACATACATGTACATGAGTGTATGTTATATAATTACACTTTTCTGGATGTTAGAGGTTATCTTTGCATTTTATGGTTTGAAACCCTTCCAACACTCGTGCTGGGCATCCCACAATCTTGAACATACATCTTGCAAAGTCATTGGTTGCTATGGTGACTCAATAAACACATTTCAGTCAACGCATTGAAAATCTTTGAAACGAATTGGCTTGAACGCTGAGGCGCTTCAGCTGGGGAACTTAGCCAAAAAGGGTGGAGGAAAGAAAAATCCGGGATTCACAGCAACAAACCGGATTGAAATGGGGTATTCATGGGATATTAATGGGATAATTTCACGAGATGTTTCGGCAATTGCTTTTACTGGAAATCAAGTGCTTGATTAGGGTGGAACATCAGAACCTGGTGAATTGTCGGTAGTTCCTACCGGCCAGTTGCGCCTGGAAAGTACACATCACTGGATAATCTCACAATGTTTATGAAACATTTGTTATACCATCAGTGATAAAAATTCTTGTTGATCAAACTTCATGCTTTGCAGGGTACATTTGATATGCTTACACCCCTCATTTTGATCCACCCGGTATTAATTCACCATCAGTGGGGCCCGGTGCCCACCCCCAAAGTCGTTTAAATCCCCGCTTTGTTTCTTTTTTGTGGGTCCAGGGATGCCAGGTTTTTTTTTGGCAAATCCCATGGCAAATCGCCGTGATATGCCATATCTCCCCATATTTTCAATGGCCATTGCAAGTATCTAAACTGGAGGTACTGTATCATATGTTTGGCCATATTTTGGGGGCGTATCCCCTTGCATAGCCCTAAAAAATATCGACCTTTTTTCTATGGTAGGTCCTGGTAGGTACCTCCAACCTAGGTTCCTGAAATGGCGATATTTGTCCCGAATTGTTGTTGGTCCGGGTGATTCCCAGGGCCTTTCTGGAGTTTGGTTGGCTGGCGCGGCAGCTGAAAGCGCCCAAGCAAAAGGAGCTTGGTTTGGTCAAGTCGGGGGATCCGACCCAGAAATCTGGGATGGCCATTGCTATGGAAAATGGCCCCATGAGAGGTGATTTACCTACTAGAAACTAGGGAATTTCCATAGCTATGTTGAACTACCAGCGGGTAGACCGGTGATTTTGAGGGGGTGACAGTTTTGACCCATTCCCAATGAGGATCTATGAACACCCAGGGGATTCCCAGGGGAGTTTCTGGGCTGGGATATCATTGTTTGGTTGATCTGGCGACAAGCAAATGAGGATTTCCTGGAGTCCTCAGCAGCAAAAATTGGGTAGTGAGAAAAAGGTATTGGCTACAGTATCATAGCAATCTTGCAGATGCCCACGGGATGCCCACGGGATGCCCACGGGGACATCTGGGGGATGATGGTGATGTCCCATCTGAGGTGAGTTCTTTGTCACCATGGATTTTCGCTGAGAGAATGGAGGTTTTTTCATGGGAGAATCCTCAACGGTGTATGTTTCAGCCATGTTTGACAGCGGAGGGTATCCTTTAGTAACTTTAGTATCACCCATTGTTGGACGGCGGACCTTTACCTGGTGACCATCCTTGGAAGGAGAAGATGAGCTTGGAGTTCACACAATTTCTTTGTGCTCTGCTGGTTTTGCCAGAAGCCTCCATTGACTTGAAGGCGGGGAGGAGGTTGAGACTGGAGGTTCAGACTGTGCAATACTGGGAATGTGCAGTTGACAGATGATTTCATAGGTCTTCATGGTTCTCTGGTAGGTTTTCACCAACATTTACACATGTTACGCTCCCTTCCTTCGAGTTGATGTTGGATATAGAGCAGATGGATAAGACTTGCACCAGAGAGATGGATAGCCCCATTGTAGGTTGGTTCGATCGCCATTTCTTGTCGGTGAAGGCCATTTTGTTTGCTAAAAAATCAGACTCTGGCGGATAACCCATCCATTTTAGCTCAGTTTCTGGACACTTGAGGCAGCCATTTGTCGCACCATCACCTGGGCCTGTTCAAAGCTCAGAGGTTCGGATCGGATCAGAGTCCATTTCGGATCGATCTGAAGAAGTCGGCTGGTTGCCACCATGTTTCGGCAGGTGATTTTGTGTGATTTTTCGGCACAAACCACTCTCAAAAGCTCAAAGTATCCTGGCAAGAGACCCCAAACAGTGTGGGGGGAGTAAAAGGCTAATGTATTATGATGTTGATGAAGATGTTAACTTTGATGTTGTTGATGTTGTTGTTGTTGTTGATGATGATGATGATGATGACGACGACGACGACGACTCTACGACGACGACGACGACGATGATGATGATGATTATGATGATGATGATGATGATGATGATGATGATGATGATGATGACGAGGACGATGATGATGATGATGATGATGATGATGATGATGATGATGATGATGATGATGATGATGATGATGATGATGATGATGATGATGATGATGATGACGAGGACGATGATGATGACGACGACGACAATGATGATGATGATGATGATGATGCTGATGCTGATGGTGATGGTGATGGTGGTGATGATGGTGATGATGATGATCACGACGACGATGATGATGAGAGGAAGATGATGAGAGGAAGATGATGAGAGGAAAATGATGAGAGGAAGATGATGAGAGGAAGATGATGAGAGGAAGACGAGGATGTTGATGTTAAGGAGGACGAAGATGAGCAGGTTGAGGAGGATGTTGTTGAGGAGGAAGACCGATCCCAAGACCGGGAAGCACAAATTGTGCGAGCCTGCGCAGGCGAAATGCACATGGACAGAGTACAACAACCATTTTGTACGGAAATTTACAGGGAAAACGACCGGGGACACCTCCGGGGACATCGTTTTGTGCGAGCTGCGCAGTCGAAATGCACATGGACACGTCACAAAAACCATTTTGTACGTAAATTTACAGGGAAAATGCCGGACCCGTATCCCGCGACACCCATTTTTGTGTGAGCTTGCGCAGTCGAAACGCACATGGACATGTCACAACAGGCATTTTGTGCGGAAATTCACAGGGAAAAAACCGGACGCTTCGGATACCACCTCGATTGAACACCGGGCCCTAACACCTACCGTAAGAACTCCTCAGTGTGGACACACTGTTTTGGGAAAAACTCTAATCTCAACCATATTTTCCCACATCACAATTCTGAAGCGAAATTTCATGCCGCTGGGCATGGCTGGGCATGGCTGGGCATGGCTTAAAACACAAAAAACACACGAGGTTCGGGGCAGCTGCACATGGCGTTGCTGGCTGGGGCCATAGCAATTGGCACCTGGCTTGCCCACCCTCCGGCAATCAACCATGGCTGACTGGAAAATCCCTTATAGTTGGAGGTTTAATGGGACAAATCATCTATAAATTTAAGAATGGCGGATTTTCCATTGCCATGTTGCCGCAGGGTAAACCCTGATGTTTTTGGTTTTCTCAGGTATTTCCGACAAGATGCGATGTGAAACATCCAAAGAGTTTCAAGGGTTGACCATCTAAAATAGGGCCAGAAGTTCGAAGGTGTTGTAGCTGCATTGCGACTGTTGCGGCAGCATCGCTTGTCGCTTCTGAGGTTCCAACTTTGAGTTCAGTGTTGAAGCAGCCGCTTGGGTGAACGGTGTTGGTGATGCTTCAGAACCCGGGCCTCATTTAATCATTTGGATGCGTCTCTAAAGGGATGGAATCTGACTGCAAATCTCAATTTCCCTCGTTGACTAAGTTTGGGTTAGATCAACCACTTTTAACAAACATATCCCCTTGATCCCTTGATTCTTATCTACGTTTTTCGGCTTGAAACAGGCAATGTTTTTTGCCCCCATTGATTGTTGCTGAATCTCTCCTTGACTGGCAGTTCACCCACAGTTGCCAGTGATGGTAAATAGGAATCCCTTTTGGCAAAGGTCACAAGTCCGGTAGTCACTGTTTGTAGGTCCAAGTTACAACTGTTTGATACCCCTCTTTTTGGGCGAAACATGGCCCAGCAGATCATTCTTGCTGCACCCCCAAATCCGATGCTGGGCCATCATCATTTTCCCAACATCAAATGGCCATTTGGGGAGTATGCCCATTTTCAGACATACTCAAATATCATATCAAGTCAATTAATCAGTTATATATATATATACATATATCTTATATCTCATTGTATCACTATGATATTCCTATATTGCACCCGTTTGATACCTGAAGTCTGGGGGGTTGAAGCCACCAACTACCACTGGTTCTTTTTCAAGGCGAAACATCTTCTTGAAAACCTGCGCCACAGTGACTCTGGTGAATATGACCAAGTGCCACGAGCTTCTGGGCCTGCAGATGGGCGGCCGTTTTCGGTTTGGTTGAGTTTTTGTTTGTTGGATTTTCCAAAGAATATGCGTGACGCTTGAGGTTTTCAGGGTTTGGTGTGTAGAAAAGAGTAAATCATGGGAATGAAAGCTGTATCTCAAGGGATACCCGCAGTACACGTCGTATACTTTTTACACCAATGGGCTGACCCACAAGACCAATTCAAAGGCACCGCTAGCCGCTAGACTTCTGGAGCTGAGAAGCTTCGGGCGACTGTTGAGCATGTCGACCCAAGGGCTGGACTCCACCATTGGAAGTCAGCAGTTTTGCAATGTTTTGCAGTTTTGGTGGACTCAGATAGACTTCGTGCCAGTTTCTTTGTTGAAAGTTTTTGTTTGAGACCCACGATGAATTCCTCGAATTCAGATCATGTCATGATGCCGCTCTCACTGGGACGGAGGCCAGTGAAGGACGTTTTGACCAGGATGGATGCAGGGGCTCCTAGTGACCAAGGCAGCACTAACCCCAAACCCGTTGATGGATCAAAATTTGGGGCATCACCAGCCTGCAACTGCAGGCCCAAGTGGGTCAACAGCTGCTTATGTTTGTTGGAAGTTGAAGGGACAAAGTTATTTACAGGACCCTGAAGGTATTTTTTGGGGCTAAATCCCTGCAGAGGCATCACATGATATCCCCACCATCCCCATTTCACCATTGGTTTTACATGGTTTTACTATGTTTTACTGTTGAAATTGACTATATTTGGAAGATTTTGGGTTCCACCATTTTAGGAAAATCCATCATTTGGAGGTTTCAAAGCCATGGTTTCATTCCAAAACACATCCCAGGCCCAAGCGACTTTGGTGGAACATTTGGGCATCCCTGACGATGACTTGTCGGGGACCATAGTTGGACCTTTCAGGATGCCAATGACTGGACCTTTCAGAAAGATATCTTCATTACTTGAATCATCTTGAATCTCATAAAATTATATAAAATTATATAAAAAAGATCTATTTGCCGCCTGGCTTCTCATATCATGACACCGCCGCTCTCACCTCTCCGGTTGAATCTGGCCTGCAGGATCTACTACACTTTGATGTTGACCACAAGCTTGTCGAGGTCCCGAGCAGTCACAAAACACCTGGCTTGAAAAGCTTGCCCACGGGCATGAACCGCCTTCTACATCTTTGTTGTTTCTATCATTGTTACATGTTGCCAAATTGCTGAACATCCAGCAATTTGGTGGTTTAAACATATTTAAGCTAGCAAACATTCTCAACCATTTTTTCGGAGTCACTCACTCTCGAGCACCAGCAACTCTGACCAACCTCAAACTGGAATGGAGCATCATCTGCGCGAAGCCGCGAACCACTGTTTCTCACTTCGCAAACCCAAACCATAATCAACTTGGGATGATTCGCATCGCAGAATTGACCCAAACATCAATTGGATTTCATGTAAATTTTCTATGCTTTGCTTCGTGATTTGCTGCCCAACTCCACATGGCAAATTCTGTTCCGTCGGTGGATCCAGCAGGACCACCGCTCAACGCTTGGCACTGAAGAAGTGTGGGGCAGTGGAGGAATTGGTGCACCTCCTTCAGATGACCTACAGCGTCCCTCGGACCTGAAACGTGGAGCTGCGAGGCAACGAGACAGGGAATCACCGAGTTCTAGGGGTTTGATGTGTAGGAAAGCCATGGAACCATGGAAAGCCTGGATTTCGGTGTTGGGGTTGTCACTCACTGAGTCGATTTGGAGTGAAAAATGAAGGTCTGAACCCCCTCGTTGGATTGTCCCAGCCATGAGTCATATGCCTTTCCTGAAACTCTTCCCTTGAGCTAATTCTAGGCTCGCTGTGAAGATTCCGAAGTTTGGCCCTGGGTCAGTTCACTATGGTAGCCTGGTGAACATTAAAATCCGTGACAAATGGATGTTGATGAAATATGGTACCTTCTGGTTATTTGACGTATCGATGGAAAATCACTATTTTAATTGAATTGGCAATCATTATATATCATCTGTGAATGAGCCATTTACTATAGCTATGTTCAATAGCCAGAGGGTATATATAATTGGTTTTCACATGTCCCCATGAGTAGAATATCTCTGCAACGTCAGCGGTTGGCATGCATGGGCACATTTACATCAATAAATCGATGAACAAGCAGAAGGACAGCGAAGAACAATATCACACATCATTCACAATATACACATAATATATATGTATATCTATACATTATATATATATACATAATATATATATATATACATAATATATATATATATACATAATATATATAGATATATACATATGCATACATAAGAGTTACATATATATACATATATACAATATATATATATATATATACATAATATATATATATATACATAATATATATATATATATACACATAATATATATACAATATATGTATATAATAAATAAATAAATATATATATATATACATAATATATATATACATAATATATATATATACATAATATATATATACATAATATATATATATACATGATATATATACACATAATATATATAATATACGCATTATATATATATGCATAATATATATAATATACATAATATATATAATATACATAATATATATATAATATACATAATATATATAATATACATAATATATATATATACATTATATATATATATTTATATTCACATAACATATATATATATATATATGAATATTGATAGTATATATATATATATTCATAATATATATATACATATATATATATATTCATAGTATATATATATATATATTCATAATTTATATATATATATATATATTATGAATATATATATATATATTTATATTCATAATATATATATATATTCATAATATATATATATATTCATAATATATATATATATATATTATACACATACATTATATTGATACATGTATAATATATATATATATTCATAATATATATCTATCTATATATATATTATACACATACATTATATTTCTACATGTATAATATATATATATATAATATTATATATATGTATATCCACTGCCTCCCAGGAGAGCAAGGATCACCTGTTGGCCGAGCTGGCCAGCAGCGTTGGGCAGCTGTGTAATGAGGAGGAGCAGCACCAGGGTTGATGAGTTTGGACCCAGAAGAGGCTGGTCACGTGGCTAGACATTGACAGTGTTTCACAGGAATCCCAATAGTTACGAACTGATTCAGGATTTCGCAACCATCCACAGTATGTATAGATATGTTGAGTATTTAAGCCATGTAGAACAGAGATTGAATATTAACAATATTAAATACCTGCAAGAAGGGTTCCCAAATGAATCAGTTTACAATTAGAAACGGTTCTTCTGGGGGTATTTCATAGTAGGGGAACTCTTGCTTACAGGAGGGCGCAAAAAGTTCAGTTTTGAACTCCCAAGAAGGATTTCTACATATATGTATATATATATACATACATATTTTGTCATCATAAAGAATTGGGACTGAACTGGCGCGAGGTTTTGCTCCATGCTTTGCTGAGGAAAATTTATCATCCCTGGACTCCAGGACATTCGATGCAGTATGGCGGAAGCAAAGCACCTCGGTACGAAAACGTGGGTTGGCCAACTGGTTAGGGTACCAGAGGTGCTACTGTGATCATCGAACGGGTCGCAGCATGTAACTGCAGAGGCACCTTAGGAACTCAAGGGATCATCCCGAAGCAACTGGAGACCGGCTGATTGTCATCAGGGATCTTACCATGGCGGAGATCAACAAAGAAAGTGCCTAGATCAACTAGGGTTCATGGTAGATTGGTAGATGTATCTACAAGACTATCATTTATAGCCTATAATAGGGTTAAAAGTTAAAACGCCTATCATTTATAGCATAAGCTTTGAGAGATAGAATACAAACTTCCGGACTATACACCTACTTTCCACACGTGTGCATTCTGGCCTTCGTTTCTGTCAACCACAACGATTTGCCGAGCCGAGGGTCTTCCGGCGTTTGCTGAGCCTCTACACCGACTACCCGTGCAGTTCTCGTTTGAGGCCTGGCGGTCTGCTGAGATGGCAATCGGGACTCAATCTATTGATTTTATCTATGATTGTCTAATTGAAATCCAAGATTTTGAACTTCGAAGCAAGATAACCCTCACCCCGTTGCCACGGACGTGCCAGGGCAAAGCTAATGTTTGCCATTCGGCAGCCGGGGGCACCCAGCCATTGCTGGTTGATCTCACTATTTCTTGTGGGAGAATATCAAGCAATCAATAATGAACACTGGTAACAATGATATCACACATTGCTGATTGATTGCTGATTGATTGCTGATTCATATCCTCCAAGAGATCCTGATTTCAACGGTTTATGCCCAGCTTGGGATGTGCTGTGAAACCAGGTTCTGCATTGCTGGCAGTTCCACATCAGAATCCTTGCGGGATGTCGGAGAGCCCAGAAACCCATGGTTTTATATCCACAAATTTGGGGGTTTCCTAAGTCATGGGGGTACCCCAATAGCTGGATGGTTTATAATGGAAGATTCTATGAAAATGGATGATAACTAGGGGTTCCCAAATAGACAGGTTTCCTGCGATTTCTTACTTCAATCAAGTCTCGGAATTCAAGTTTCACCCGAGAATTCCTGCGTCGGGTTCGACATGGCCAAGGGCTGACCAAACATTCGATTTGGGTTTCAACCTGACCCCAGAGCGGGTGACGTGTATATAGACCATTATAGACCCAGTACTGAACCACGCTCAATGTTACATTTTTAGAAAGCGTAGAATCTTGTTCCCCCCTGGGATGCCAAAGGCTCAATGACCCCTCTCAAAGAACCAGTAGAAAATCAAGCCACAACAAGGAAAACATACTCATTCTGAGGCTTCTATCTCCATTTTCCGGGGTCCGGGTCATCATTTTTCGGGAAAAGAACAAAAAAGTCCTCTGCAGATGATCTCCAAAGTCATCAACTTGCCTTGTAAATGGGCGATTTCACACATATATATATATATATATTCACAGCTTCAGGGGATATTACCTAAGTTTTGACTTGTATAAATAAAGTACCTTAAAAATCTTAAAAAGTTAAGACAACAAAACCACATTTCTAAGGCTCCAAATGACTCTCGATCAATACCTATTAATACAGTTTCTTGGATCAAGATCCATCTAGCCATTTCGATGTGACCACCACATCGCAAGTGACAAAATGCACAGTTTTGGCGAGTTCAGTTTTCGCTGAGCCCAGGATGTAGCTCCTATACTGCCGCAGGTGATCGAGGAGATGGGGTCTTAACCATCTACACTGGAGATATAGAATGGGGACATATGTGTGTATATATATATTATTGTTGTTATTGTTATTATTATTATTATGATTATAATATATATATATAGATATATGTACATATATCATATATGTACATATATCATATATGTACATATATCATATATGTACATATATCATATATGTACATATATCATATATGTACATATATATATATATGTACACATATGTATATATATATATACATACATATGTACACATATGTATATATATATATACATGTATGACCAAGGATGATCTGGGGGGGGAGCCTCAGATCCAAAGGAGCTGTCAGAGCTGGTTGGAGCCTCAGTAGCGCCCATGGTATGCCGCATGACTGGGTTAGGTGACACTCTCCGCTGGATATGGGATTTATGGATAATATACACAAAAAATCATATTTCTTCATATTTACATTTATGTTCATTGATTCAAGTTTGTACAGATTATTTTCAGACACACCCACCTGGCATATAGTTTCTTATATATAAAGCCATGACCCATTAAACCACAATGTTTGTTGCTTAAGCTTCCCATATATATTCTGTATTCCCTTTTGTCAACGGATCGCCAGGTGCAGTCCAGTCAGTCCTTCGACACTTTGGATGGTGACTTGGTGCAGAAAAGGATGGCAACACCTTTGGGTTTGCGAGCCCTTTTTCACCGCCAGAGGTGGGCCATGTGGACCTTAACTATGGAATCAATGGAATCAATTAGAGCCGAAAAGCATCCAATTTTGAAGTCTTGGGTTCAAATGTTGAGGCAGAGATTCCATCCCTTTTGTTTTTTTTCTCCCATCTGAGCATCACCCCGGCTTCGCAGTTGCCAACTGGGATGATCCTCAAAAAAAGTTGGTGATGCACACCAACTTAGTAAGCAACGTCACTGGAATGTTGGTTAGGATTGGGGTCACTATCCCAAAAAAACCTTGTTTCAGTTTGATGAATGTAAAAGATTCAGCTGCCGGCTGCAATATCGACATTTTTCACCGTCTAATGAGAGAGACACCTTGGAGTTACTCAGTGTGGATGAAAATAGGGTCCCCGGAATTTTTGATTGTCCCACAGTCCCACATCCTTTGGTACTTTTGGGCAAAACCACATACCCGTCAAGTGAAACTCTGAAGCCCACGCCGAGCCCCTGCCCAGATGATCAAACGGATTGGTTGGTGAGTTCTGCCAGGGCTCTCGGGATGTGATTTGTGTGACCTGCCATGTAGCTGATGGATTTTTGGATTTTTTTGGACATGGATTTTTTTGGTCCAATTTGGAACATGGAAAAGGATGGAACTTTTTAGATACCAGTGATACCAGTCTGGAAAATCCAGGTTTTCCATCTTTTTCGGCCTCCAAATGTGGGATGGTGAGGTGTTGTTGCTCTACACGCTGGCCATAGATCGAACTCTGCTCGAAGAGATGAGGCTCTGGGGAAAATGATGATCCGATGATCCATTGGAATCGAGGGTAACCGTATTACGGTAAACCATGGTAAACCCATTTTGGTTGGAAGAACAGTGGCAGCATTTTGCCAGGCCGCTGAATCTGAGGCAATCATAGAGTAGAAATCCCCAAAAATCTTTCTCCATGGCAGTTTAGTGGTGTTGACAAGCCATTTGCGAATGACATAAACCAACGCGTACGGGACTTCAGATCACTGTGGCTGTACGCGCAAGCGATCCACAGTGATTTCTGGAGGCTTCCATCCCAACATGTTCCCCCTGTCCATGAGATCTTTCCGGTTCAAATATCTTCTTATCTTAGGAACCTCCCAGGCATGCCCGTTCGATATGGCCGAAAAATCACAACAAAAACTTCCGGGATTCCGATTGTCACTCTCCAAATCCAGTTTTTCCGTGTAGATTTTCCATTTACCACTGGACATTTTGGATATTCCCATTGCCGGCACGGAAGGGATCCCGAGCTCCAATTCAAAGAGACTTTGCTGAAGCTGCGCTTTTCGCCCTTAAAAGAGCTGGAGAGATGGGAGCTGCTGGGAAGCGAATTTTGGATGTAGCACATGATCTATATACAAACTCTTGGATGGCCATGCTACATTGATCTGTGTAAATGTGTGTTCGGAGCTTGCCCTTCTGTTAATCTTTCCAGATTTCAGCGGGAAGTCCTTACACGCAACGTACTTTGCGGCTATCAAGCCATCAACATCCATCAACCATGTTGGTTTCAGTCCTGCAAAATTTGTCTGTTGCAATCCCGAATGAAACGCTCTCCGGTGGTTGTCATCCATGAATCCTCCACAGGACGTCACGCGCGAGCGCATCATTGAGCTTTGAGAGCTACTGCGAGGCATTACTGGGAAACCCTGAGGAAACTGAACAAAAGCGAAGAAAAGGATCTCTCACTAGTCAAAATTAGGATTTTACATTATTTTATCAATCAAAAGTTTAATGTCGTTTCGACATGATTTCAGCAACACGAGCTGCGGTTGAGCCCAGAATAACATCTTCGGGCTTCATCATCCGGATCGGCTGCTTCTCCATCAAATTCAGACCCAGTAGCGACAAAGTGGTCATTTTGACCATGACTTGTTGGCTCAGGCTTAAGCCTCCAAAATCTGTGGTTCTTAGCTCAACCCATGGGACCCATCCCCTAACCCATGGGCGTTATGGGATCAGTCCATCCAATCCATCCGTGGAGGCGACGCTGAGGCTCGGTAAATACTACCAGCCCTGGGGACCAAAGGCTGTCCCGGAGCCAGCGAGCGAAAGCCGCGCCGCGCCGCGCCGGTGGAGTTTGGAGCGTCAGAGTAGTTCAATGGGAATATCACCTTCAAATGGGGAGAGATTTTCCCACCAGCATCTTTTTTGAGGTTGTAAGCATCAAACGTATATGATTATAAGGAATCCATTGTTGGGGATATGCCAGCATATAATGATATGATATGATATGATGATAAAACATCTACCAGCTGGATTTTCATCAACCAATCACGCTCCCCGAGAATCAGGAGGAACCAGGGGATACTAACCAGTACTAACCAGTACTAACCAGGGTCCGACATCACATCCCAACTAGGACCTTGAGTCTGCCAGGTGAACCAACTGGAAGCCCTGCAGGAGGCGGAACTGCCCTGGTGTCAGAGGTGCAAAATCCGCAGATCGTCCCGAGCGGCGAGTCGTCCTGAGTTATGATTAAGATGACTTAATGAACTGATATGAACTGTTAATGATAAAATATGATAAAATATGATAAAATATGATAAAATATGATAAATATATGATAAATATATGATAAATATATGATAAAATATGATAAATATATGATAAATATATGATAAATAAGTACCGGAGCGGTGAAAACCCAATAGAACCCAATAAAACCCAATAAAACCCAGTGATACCGGGCACTCAGTGGGGTGATCCTGCAATTGCTATTGATGTGACTCTCCTCTTCCAATGGGTATATGGGGATTGGTCGAAGATCAGAACCCGTTAGTTCAAAATCAAAGCAACTGATCCATTTGCCGGGACGTTTTTTTTTCTTCTTTTTCAAATGGGGATCCGAATGTTGATCTACATCAAAATGGATGGGTCAAAACATGTCAAAACCAATTAGTACCATACCATCTTTGGTTTTTTTTCACATCCCCATCTTTCGGCTCCATCGGCTCCGCCAGGATTGATCTCACGGTGAACAAACTGAGCTCCGTGGTTTCTCTGGCCGCCTTGGGGCGCTTGAGATTCGCCTGCTTCGCGACCAACGAAATCACGTCCCTGGAGGCGTGCCCGAGATGCCGTGGCCGTGGCTGTGGGGTGTCCACGGCCACTGGGGGAATGTTCCAATTGGTGGTTACAACATGTTACAAAGACGTTGCCATTTAGAAGCATCTCACAGCAAAGTGGTGCTGAACGGTGAGTAGGTGGGATATTTTTGCGAGGGGGGTATGACGTTAACTAGTCCACTTAGTTCGTAAGACTAACGAGTCTACGCGTGATATCCCAGTGAAAACAGGATATCACGGTATTATCATACTTGATCATTTACCGAGATTTCTTACTTATTTCCATGACTGTCCCACCTAGTTTGTCTGGTGAGAAAGAAGGATTATGATCAGGAACCTGGATTTCCTTAGCAAAAAAAGTGGGTAATAAACTCCACAACCAAGCGCAAACTTGTGTAAAGCATGACTCGCTGCCGGCTTTATATCTACACTAATCATATATATATATATAATATACATATCAATATGTATGGATCAATTGGGTACCCCAATAATTGAATGGTTAAAAGTTCAACACAAAAATCTACCAAGCCATCTGTGGTCCAGGTCTCTAATTTTGACCCATACTCATATCATATTATATATATACATATAATATAATTATAGATAGATATACTATGATATACACATTGCTTTCACCTACACTTAGGATGATGATAGTAATGGACGAATGTTTGGGATGAAACCTGCCAGGGCTTTGGAGATCATCCTGTGCTGGAAGAGTTGCAGCTGCAGGTAGGCGGTGATTTGGTGGGAGCAAAACATCCAGATTGGCATGTCACGTCTGATTGCTGGGGGATGATTTTTTGTATTGGTTCTCCCTTAAAAAAGCTAGAAATGCTAGATTTTGGATAGTGATTGGCATAGAAAAGGAGGGATTCTGCAGGTTTTGATGAACACTTAGTGATCACGCCAATGTGGATAGGGATCCCTGCTGTTTTGATGGCGACTCTCTCGTCCGTCTGGTGGACCTCTGTATGGATGTACTTCTTGAAATGGGGATCCTCGATTGCCAGGATTGCCAGCAGGGAGGGGCGTATTGTGACAGGTACAAAGTAAGATTTGAAATGGGATTTTTCACGATTACTGCAGGATAGGATACAGAGTAGCATGAATGCACAGCTCACAGGAAGCCTTCAAAAGAACATGGGAACATCCAAAAAACACTAGGTCTTTTAACTAATAAGGTATGGGTTTGGAGGTATCACCAACAATGGCCAGATTCAAGATGTGATCAATAACGCTGGGGATACATTGGGTCGGTGGTAAATACAGGTTGCGTATTGGAAAAGGCACCAGTTGCACCGTCTGATAGCCATCCTCTGACGGCAGGAGAACCAACTCACGTCGTTGAAGGGCTTGGGATGCCTAAAGAGTCCATGGCCTCAGCAGGCCGTGGCTCACCAGTTCCGTGGGGCGCCGTGGGGCGCCGGGGGCACTGTGAGCCGGCGGAGCCCAAGGTCTCCGGTCGCTGGTGGTGTCCAGCAACCAACTCACCTCCCTGGAAGGTTTGGATGTGCGGAAACTCAGGGACTGGAAGACGAGGCCACAACCTTTTCGACACTGGGGATGGGGATCTTCACCTCTGGGGATGGCTATCAGATGTGTGCCAACAGTGCTGGGTCGAGGCCTCAACCCCCCCATGTTTTGCCGGGGTCCGAAAAATCATGTTGCACCCATCCAAGATCTGAAAAACAGGCACCATTTGGGTATGGAAATTGGGTACACCCCCTGGTCATCAACTAATAACAACAATTATGATTGACATGATTGATCAGTGGACGGAATGGGGTACACCATTGTTTTTTAATGCTCAAAAATCCGATACATCCATGAATTTAACTCCCCGTGATCCCCATTTTTTGTTGGTGATCCGATGGTTTTTTCCACCAGGCCCCAGTGTTGAAGAAGTTGGACGTCAGTGTGGCAGCACAGTCGAGCATCGGCGTGCGAACCACGGACCTGAACCACTAAAAACTGGGGAATTGACCAGCAATCCTCGGGGACACCGGGAACATGTGGATAAAATTGGAATGTCACGGGGATAGAATTCAATCATAGAATGAGCAATCTGACCGGGTTTGCATGGCAAATTTTATAAAGGCTGGAACACCATGGGATTGGATATGGGGTAGCCTGGTCCTTAGGCAATGGTTCTGGTCCTTTATTTGTGACCAGTCATTTGTGGTCCTAACTTGAGGCAAAAACCAGCTGGCTGCCCTAGAACATCTGGACAAAGCTCCAGCTTGCGAGGCGCTAGCCACCATGATGTGGGGATATGATGGGATGTATTCTGAAAATTACTCAGTATATACGTGATGTTTGTCCCAAAAACGGGCAATGTTCCATGGAAAAGTGAACAATGTGGAAGAACCATGTTGTTTTTCTTTCATTGAAAACTACAAACCCATAGACGAAGCAACATGAGTGAAAGGATCCATTTCCAAGACCTCGTTCTCTTCTCGGCCGCAGGAACTGATTACTTTTAGCGCTGAATTCGCTTTCAAGCCATGCGCTTGGTCCATAGAAATATAATGTTTGGGGTTGCCTCCCATGCGAAAGTCCACACTTGTGCGGCTCAAACCAACATGTTTGCCACTTGCATAGTGAATCGCATTTTGTTTGGATGCTGATTTCCTTTCTTCTTTGGGACTCCTAATCTATATATTATATTATATTATATTATATATTATATACCAGTAACCCATTTGTCACTTCTATTTGAGGATGAGTCCTCAGTCTTCAGTTCTCAACATCCAAAGAAGGATCATTTGTCGTTTCACCTTTGCTTGAAAGCGACAAATGACTATTGCAAGGGTAAATGAATGATACTGGCAAAAATCATCAAAAAACATGAAAAATCTCGGTTCCCCTGGAAAAACACACTGAAGCCCCGGATGAAAACACTTACCTTCCGGTAAAGCCTGGAAAATCCCCCATGATTTTCCCGGTTTCGACATCTCCCTATAGTTGGTTTTTCGCCATGGAGCTGATGACACTGGGAGCGTATCTATTATTCTATTGTTATTTTATTCGTATTCTATTCATATTCCATGATATTCCCTTCATATATCCCTTTATATCCCCATTAAAAAACACCATTTTGCTTGGGAAAAACCAAGCGCGAAAATCCCAATGGGCTTGACACAACAACACCGTGAAGGAGCTGGATGTCTCTGAGAATCAGCTCAGTGCAGAGGATCCGTGCGATGCCTCAGATGGCTGTGCTCATTGATGGATATGCTTGGGATATGGTGGGCTATGATGGGAGATTCCATTATTATTATACCATTATACCCCACCATATCCCAACCATAGTATCATTATATGGGGTATGATATTCCATTATAATAGGGATACCTCGAAGATAACCTGGTGATTGGAATGGGATGACACGGTATGACCATTTCTATCCATTTCTTAGTAATATCCCTCTTTTTTAGTGGTTTCAATGATATGCATTATTTCTTGTAGGTACACTGAACCATCCCAAGAAAACACAGAAATTCTTGCTCAAGTGTCAGCGTACAAAATTGCCCCGATTTTGTTATTCCTATAACTCATACAATTGCAGCAGTACTTATTCAAATATCCCAATCACTTCCCAATCACTTCCCAATCACTTCCCAACCATATCCCAATCATATCCCAACCATATCCCAATCATATCCCAACCATATCCCAATCATATCCCAACCATATCCCTTAAGACATCAGCATTTCTTCTTGTTTTCCATGACCTTCGGAGTTTTCAGGAACCTGCCGGAGCTGAAACGCTTGGCGGGCGAGAAGATGTTGTGCCCTGGCTGCCCTGGTTTGGATTTTTTCCTATGGGATATATAATTATGATAGCTATGTTAAATTACCAGAGGGTATGTAAAATGAGGATTACTAGATTTCTAGGATTTCTATGAATATAGGTATGGGTCAATACCTATAGATACATTTTTAGTGGGATGAACATCCATTTACCAGCTATTTTGGGGTTCACTAGGTACCAGGGTTTTGACCCATCCCCATATATGATATGATATGTTTTTCATTATTGATAATTACACTGGACTCAACTGGTAAGGATATAATCACATATATATATACTTATATACTTATATATACCCTCTGGTAAAGTAACATAGCTATGGAAAATCACCATCTTGAGTTGGAACATAAACTATAAAAGGACCATTTTCAATAGCTATGTGAGAAATTACCAGAGGCTAATGAATTGGGAGAAACATGAATCCTGTGTTCATTCCTCTTTTCCTAAAGGGGTATTGCGGTATTCTATGGTATTCTGCTTCCGACAAAGTCACGTCGACATTCATCTATATGAAATGATCATGGCCCCGGAATGATACCCGGTATGATAGTGAAGGTAAGGGCGGCAGCTGAAAAACATTGCAAACTTCAGAATCCAACCAAAAAAAAGACAATATAATACATATGCCACCCAAAAAAGATCCCATTTCTACCGAAAAAGTCAAGGCACTCCTTGAGCATCTCGGGCAACACTGGGGACCTACGCATCGAGGTCAAGATCGAGGGATGTTGAGCTGTTCGCCACGATGCGAATGGTGGTGTGACTAGGATGGATTTAACCAACAAAAATGGTAGAATCAACGGGATATCAATGGGATATTCATGGAATGTTCATGGAATATTCCATGGAAATATCCCCCTAATTCTCCACGAATCCCGTGCCCTATTCATATCATTCAAACACCCCAAGAAAACATGGTGGATGTAGGGGTGAAATCATGGATTTGGGACCATACAACGGGGGTCTTTGATATTAGGATGGGAAAACTGGAATGCCACGGAAAATGGGTGGAATATTCATGGAATTTATTGAGACCCTTTGGTGTCATCAGCTCGCTTGGGGGGTTTCTGGCTGGGAAATCATCAAACTTGATGGTGGATGTTCAATTCACCGAATTTCATATCTGGGATCCAGGCCAGTGTACATCCTGGTTTCCCATGGGGTTTTGTGTTGAGAATCCTTTGCTTTCCAGAATTAGTTTAAGGGAAAATTACAGGACAACCCTACTTCTTGAATTCTCCTGGATGGTAAAGATTTGGATTGCATGTACACATTTGCTTAGAATTAGCCAGAATAATATCGAGACACCTCGTATGCTGTCGAGCAGCAACTAAGGCCCTTCCGCTTGTTTGGATTCCTTTGGTTCCATTTCGATCTCTCAACAGCCCTGGTAAGAATCGTGACCCATCCGCCATGGGCATCGATGCCGAAGCGCTGCTACTGACACGGCCTCTGAAAACATGGAGGCTCTGTAGCTGGGCCATGGAGCTGCCACGAAGTTCCCTGGGCTCCAAGTACTCCTTGTTGTTCCACCTCTTGGAGTCACCTGGAGCCATTGATGGATGGATTTTTGGGAGGATTTTTGGGGGTCAATGATAGAAGTTGAGTGCAAAACAACTTTGATTTGGGGAGCCGATTTGGCACATGATGGAAGTTGATTGGACCAACAAATGGGATGTGTGCGTGTGGGAACCTTAGGTTCCAGCTTGTCGTCACCAAGGGCCGGGGAGGAAGTTCAGCTGCCTCTACTCTGCTTGCGAGATGCAGACAGAAAGCTTTGTGATGCGCTGAGTCCGTCGTACCAAATGCTGAAGCTGGGACGATGGGATGGCTCAATGGGGAAACCAACCATACCAAGGTTGAAAGGGTGGGAAAATCTATAGGAAACCGTGGCAGTTCCCATCAAATATGGGAGTTTCCTGCACATGTTGGGTCAAACCATCCCAATGAACATAGCTCTGGATGACTTACGACTGCACCCTCACTACAAAGATGGTTAGGTTGTGAGTAACCAGCCCTACCATGGTTTCAGCCGAGGCGGGGCCCCGCCACCTCTGCCAACGTTAAACTTCTAATCTTGTGCATAATTCGAAATTTGGTGAACATTATATACATAAAGATATTCATTTCAACCAAGTAATTTAGATGAACATCAATATCAATATCAATTTGTTGTTTAAGCATACACATGTTGGCTTTTGTTTTTACAGATGCTTAGTGCTCCAAATACCATCTTTTTGAAGCTGGAACTATAGTCCCTCATCTTACTGGTGCTAAAGGTTTGGCATTAAGTCATTCTGCATCATTTCCCTTGGTTGAATCAACCACTTTTGTGGTTTTCACGTGTCAAACGTGGCTTTCCTATGCTTTTTACCCTCTGGCAAACTAAGAGTTTGCTATGAATCATCATTCTTAAGAAGGGTAATTCATCATTTTTATCATCATTCTTAATGGCTCACTTTCCATCGCAAACGGTTAAAATGAGCAGTTCATAAAACCCGAGTTATCCCATTGATAATAGGGGAAACTAACCCCACTTTCCAACCAGTTTCAGTTACGAATCATGGAATCATCATTTATAATCATATACCATCCCCATTCCAAATGGATGATTTATTTGGCTTGTATATGATTCATTATAAATGATGATTCCACGGATCGTAAGTGGTCATCTATAATTATCTAATTGATCTATCACCACATCCAAATAGTATTTTTAACATATGTAATTTTAAACCACTAGATTTACATTAGCCATTATTAAACCATTGTTAAGCCATTGTTAAACCAGTATTAAACCATTGTTAAACAATTATTAAACCATTATTAAACAATTGTTAAACCATTGTTAAACCATTGTTAAACCATTGTTAAACCATTATTTAACCATTGTTAAACCATTGTTAAACCATTGTTAAACCATTATTAAACCATTGTTAAACCATTGTTAAATCGTTGTTCAACCATTGTTAAACCATTATTAAACCATTGTTAAACCATTATTAAACCATTGTTAAACCATTGTTAAACCATTACAAAACCATTGTTAAACCATTGTTAAACCATTATTAAACCATTATTAAACCATTGTTAAACCATTATTAAACCATTGTTAAACCATTGTTAAACCATTGTTAAACCATTGTTAAACCATTATTGAACCATTATTAAACCATTGTTAAACCATTGCTAAACCATTGTTAAACCATTATTGAACCATTGTTAAACCATTGTTAAACCAGTGTTAAACCATTGTTAAACCATTATTTAACCATTGTCAACCATTGTTAAACCATTGTTAAGCCATTATTAAGCCTTTCTTAAACCATTGCTAAACCATTGTTAAACCATTATTAAACCATTGTTAAACCATTGTTAAACCATTGTTAAACCATTGTTAAACCATTGTTAAACCATTGTTAAACCACTGTTAAACCATTGTTAAACCATTGTTAAACCATTGTTAAACCATTATTGAACCATTATTAAACCATTGTTAAACCATTGCTAAACCATTGTTAAACCATTATTGAACCATTGTTAAACCATTGTTAAACCAGTGTTAAACCATTGTTAAACCATTATTTAACCATTGTCAACCATTGTTAAACCATTGTTAAGCCATTATTAAGCCTTTCTTAAACCATTGCTAAACCATTGTTAAACCATTATTAAACCATTGTTAAACCATTGTTAAACCATTGTTAAACCATTGTTAAACCATTGTTAAACCATTGTTAAACCACTGTTAAACCATTGTTAAACCATTGTTAAACCATTGTTAAACCATTATTGAACCATTATTAAACCATTGTTAAACCATTGCTAAACCATTGTTAAACCATTATTGAACCATTGTTAAACCATTGTTAAACCAGTGTTAAACCATTGTTAAACCATTATTGAACCATTGTTAAGACATTATTAAACCATTATTGAACCATTGTTAAACCATCGTTAAACCATTGTTAAACCATTGTTAAACCATTGTTAAACCATTATTAAACCATTGTTAAACCATTATTGACCAATTGTTAAACCATTGTTAAACCATTATTACTCCATTGTTAAACCATTGTTAAACCATTGTTAAACCATTGCTAAACCATTATTAAGCCTTTCTTAAACCATTGTTAAACCATTGTTAAACCATTGTTAAACCATTGTTAAACCATTGTTAAACCATTGTTAAATCATTGTTCAACCATTGTTAAACCATTATTAAACCATTGTTAAACCATTATTAAACCATTGTTAAACCATTGTCAAACCATTTTTGAACCATTGTTAAACCATTGTTAAATCAAAGTCAAACCATTGTTAAACCATTGTCAATCCATTGTACAACCATTGTCAAACCATTGTTAAACCATTATTGAACCATTGTTAAACCATTGTTAAACCATTGTAAAACCATTATTAATACATTGTTAAACCATTGTTAAACCATTGTTAAACCATTGTTAAACCATTATTAAACCATTATTGAACCATTGTTAAACCCATTGTGAAAACATTGTTAAACCATTGTTAAACCATTGTTAAACCATTGTTAAACCATTGTTAAACCATTGTTAAACCATTGTTAAGACATTATTAAACCATTATTGAACCATTGTTAAACCATCGTTAAACCATTGTTAAACCATTGTTAAACCATTGTTAAACCATTATTAAACCATTGTTAAACCATTATTGACCAATTGTTAAACCATTGTTAAACCATTATTACTCCATTGTTAAACCATTGTTAAACCATTATTAAACCATTGTTAAACCATTATTAAACCATTATTAAACCATCATTGAACCATTGTTAAACCATTGTTCAACCATTATTACACTATTGTTAAACTATTGTTAAACCATTGTTAAACCATTATTAAACCATTATTGAACCATTGTTAAACCATTGTTAAACCATTATTAAACCATTAAACAATTGTTAAACCATTATTAAACCATTGTTAAACCATTGTTAAACCGTTGTTAAACCATTATTAAACCATTGTTAAACATATCAAACAATTATTAAACCATTGTTAAACCATTGTTAAACCATTGTTAAACCATTGTTAAGCCATTATTAAGCCTTTCTTAAACCATTGTTAAAACAATATTAAACAATTATTAAACCATTGTTAAACCATTGTTAAACCATGGTTAAACCATGGTTAAACCATTGTTAAAACAGTGTAAAACCATTGTTAAACCATTATTAAACCATTGTTAAACCATTGTTAAACCATTGTTAAACCATTGTTAGACCTTTGTATAACCATTGTTAAGCCATTGTTAAACCATGGTTAAACCATTGTTAAACCATTGTTAAACCATTATTAAACCATTGTTAAACCATTGTTAAATCGTTGTTCAACCATTGTTAAACCATTATTAAACCATTGTTAAACCATTATTAAACCATTGTTAAACCATTGTTAAACCATTACAAAACCATTGTTAAACCATTGTTAAACCATTATTAAACCATTATTAAACCATTGTTAAACCATTATTAAACCATTGTTAAACCATTGTTAAAACATTGTTAAACCATTGTTAAACCATTGTTAAACCATTATTAAACCATTGTTAAACCATTGTCAAACCATTGTGAAACCATTGTCAAACCATTGTTAAACCATTATTAAACCATTGTTAAACCATTTTTAAGCCATTGTTAAACCGTTGTTAAACCATTGTTAAACCATTGTAAAACCATTGTTAAACCATTGTTAAACCATTGTTAAGCCATTGTTAAACCAATGTTAAACCATTGTTAAACCATTGTTAAACCATTATTAAACCATTATAAAACCATTGTTAAAACAACATTAAACACTTATTAAACCATTGTTAAACCATTGTTAAACCATTGTTTCACCATTGTTAAACCATTGTTAAACCCTTGTTAAACCATTGTTAAACCATTGCTAAACCATTGTTAAACCATTGTTAAACCATTGATAAACCATTGTTAAACCATTGTTAAACCATTGTTAAACCATTGTTAAACCATTGTTAAACCATTGTTAAACCATTGTTAAACCATTGTTCAACCATTGTTAAACCATTGATAAACCATTGCTAAACCATTGTTAAACCATTGTTAAACCATTGTTAAACCATTGTTAAACCATTGTTAAACCATTGTTAAACCAATGTGAAACCAATGTTAAACCATTGTTAAACCATTGTTAAACCATTGTTAAACCATTGTTAAACCATTGTTAAACCATTGTTAAACCATTATTAAACCATTTTTAAAACAATATTAAACAATTATTAAACCATTGTTAAACCATTATGAAAAATTCATTATTACACCATTGTTAAACACTTGTTAAACCATTATTAAACCATTGCTAAACCATTATTGCACCATTATTAAGCCATTATTAACCATTGTTAAACCATTATTTAAACCATTATTAAACCATTGTTAAACCATTATTAAACCAGTGTTAAACCATTGTTAAACCATTATTAAACCATTGTTAAACCATTGTTAAAACAATATTAAACAATTATTAAACCATTGTTAAACCATTGATAAACCATTGTTAAACCATTATGAAACAATTATTAAACCATTGTTAAACCATTGTTAAACCATTATTAAACCATGGTTAAACCATGGTTCAACCATTGTTAAACCATTGTTAAACCATTGTAAAAACAATATTAAACAATTATAAAACCATTGTCAAACCATTGTTGAACCATTATTAAACCCTTATTCAACCATTGTTAAACCATCATTAAACCATTGTTAAACTATTGTTAAACCATTGTTAAGCCATTGTTAAACCATTGTTAAACCATTGTTAAACCATTTTTACACCTTTGTATAACCATTGTTAAGCCATTGTTAAACCATGGTTAAACCATTGTTAAACCATTGTTGAACCATTGTTAAACCATTATTGAACCATTATTAAACCATTGTTAAGCCATTATTAAGCGATTGTTAAACCATTGTTAAACCATTGTTAAACCATTGTTAAACCATTGTTAAACCATTGTTAAACCATTGTTAAACCATTGATAAGCCATTGTTAAACCATTGTTAAACCATTGTTAAACCATTGTTAAACCATTGTTAAACCATTATTAAACCATTGTTAAAACAATATTGAACAATTGTTAAACCAGTGATAAATCATTGTTAAACCATTGTTGAACCATTGTTAAACCATTGTCAAACCGTCGAAAACCATTATAAAACCATTGTTAAAACAATATTAAACAATTATTAAACCATTGTTAAACCATTGTTAAACCATTGTTAAACCATTGTTAAACCAGTGTTAAACCATTGTTAAACCATTATTAAACCATTGTTAAACCATTGTTAAACCAGTGTTAAACCATTGTTAAACCATTATTAAACCATTGTTAAACCATTGTTAAAACAATATTAAACAATTATTAAACCGTTGTTAAACCATTATTAAACCATTGTTAAAAATATCAAACAATTATTAAACCATTGTTAAACCATTGTTAAACCATTGTTAAACCATTATTAAACCATTATTACACCATTATTAGAACAATATTAAACAATTATTAAACCATTGTTAAACCATTATGAAAAATCCATTATTAAACCATTGTTAAACAATTGTTAAACCATTATTAAACCATTGTTAAACCATTGTTAAGCCATTGTTAAACCATTGTTAAACCATTGTTAAACCATTGTTAAACCAGTGTTAAATCATTGTTAAACCATTATGAAAAATCCATTATTAAACCATTGTTAAACACTTGTTAAACCATTATTAAACCATTGTTAAACCATTGTTAAACCATTATTAAGCCTTTATTAAACCATTGTTAAAACAATATTAAACAATTATTAAACCATTGTTAAACCATTGTTAAACCATAATTAAACCATTGTTAAAACAATATTAAGCAATTCTTAAACCATTGTTAAACCATTGTTAAACCATTGTTAAACCATTATTAAACCATTTTTAAAACAATATTAAACAATTATTAAACCATTGTTAAACCATTATGAAAAATTCATTATTACACCATTGTTAAACACTTGTTAAACCATTATTAAACCATTGCTAAACCATTATTGCACCATTATTAAGCCATGATTAAACCATTGTTAAACCATTATTTAAACCATGGTTAAACCATGGTTTAACCATTGTTAAACCAGTGTTAAACCATTGTTAAACCATTACTAAACCATTGTTAAACCATTGTTAAAACAATATTAAACAATTATTAAACCATTGTTAAACCATTGATAAACCATTGTTAAACCATTATTAAACCATGGTTAAACCATGGTTCAACCATTGTTAAACCATTGTTAAACCATTATTAAACCATGGTTAAACCATGGTTCAACCATTGTTAAACCAGTGTTAAACCATTGTTAAACCATTCTTAAACCATTGTTAAACCATTGTTAAAACAATATTAAACAATTATTGAACCATTGTTAAACCATTATCAAACCATTGATAAACCATTGTTAAACCATTGTTGAGACAATATTAAACAATTATTAAACCGTTGTTAAGCCAGTGTTAAACCATTGGTTGTTTTTTTTAAATTTTTGATCTGTGGCTCCAAGGAAGGCCCTGCCGGGCTCATGGGCGGACCTGCTTCCAGATGCGTCCCGCTTGGTCGATGGGAGGCGTCACCAGGACGGTCCCTGGGATGATTAATGGGATGTACTATATAATTGTATATTGTATGATATTGTATGATATATATATACATGATATGCTTATGTACTAAAATATGTATATATATATAAACATACTTATGTACTTATATATATATATATAATCGAAGGAAGTTTAGAAGTCAAACTTCCGACAATATGGACAAATGAAAAGCAGTGGTGGGAAGAGTCATAGAAGAGAAGAGACGAAGAAAGAAGATCAAAAAAGAGAAAGTCTCAGAAGAAAGAAGATCCAGGTGCGCGAAAAGGTAGGAAAGTCGCGAAACACTGTGTTTTTCCAATGATTTGTGGCTCCGGAGGGTCAAAAAGTATGCTGAAGTGTCGTTTTGCGTGGCAGGCGCAATGGATTGTGCACCGTATTAAAAGTGAGCAAAACGTGAGGGTTTTGTATCATTTCCAAAAACGATGGCAGGCGTGGGGCATTTGAAGAGGACCTGCAAAGATGCATTTTCCCTCGCGGGCGCAGTACAAGAGACATGTTCATCAGAGCTGTTAGGAGGTCAGGGCGCTGATTTCCTGAGAGGGGTTACATTTTGGAGCATCAGATCTTCAGTTTTGGGAAGATGTTTTTGAGTGACAGGTGCAGCACTTCGTATGACCTGGCCTCACTTTTTCGTGGCAGGCGCAGTACTTTAGACAGGTGGAGTGGAAAAATTGCAAAACGCATTGGTACGAGGCCGTCAGCTCTGCACTCAACTTTCCATTTTTGAAGGAAGTCTCGCAGACTTGTTTCGTTTTTGACGTTGTCAACTTCGATAATTGAGGAAGTCTCGCAGGATTGTTTCGTTTTTGGTGTTGTCAAGTTCAAAAATTGAGGAAGTCTCGCAGAATTGTTTCGTTTTTGATGTTGTCAAGTTCAAACCTTGAGCAAGTCTCGCAGAATTTCTGCGTTTTCAAGCTTGCAGGTAGACAGACAGGCAGACAAACAGATAGATAGAAAGATAGATAGATAGACAATTGCAACTACAACTACCACTACACTACACTACTGCTACAACTACAAATGCAAATATACTACGCTACATTACACTACACTAATTACACTAAACAACGCTAATTATATCTAATTACGCTACACTACGCCAATTACACTAATAACAACAACAACAGCAGCAACAACAACTACTACTACCACAACTACAGCTACAATTACAACTACACTACACTAATTACACTGCAGCACACTACAACTACAAACACAACTACAACTACAACCACGCTACATTACACAACACTACACTACACTGATTACATTGCGTTACACTACAACTACAACTGCAGTTGCAGCTGCAACTGCAACTGCAACTACCACTACATTACACTACACTACGCTACGCTACGCTATGCTACGCTACGCTACGCTACGCTGCACCACACTACCCTACCCTACCCTACCCTACCCTACCCTACCCTACACCACACCACACCACACTACACTACACTGCACTACCCCACCCTACCCTACCCTACCCTGCCCTGCCCTGCACTGCACTGCACTGCACTGCACTGCACTACACATACTACACTACACTACATTACACTACACCACACTACACTAATTACACTGCACTACGCACAACTACACCTAGACTACACTACAGCTCCAACTACACTACACTACACTACACTACACTACACTACACTACACTACACTACACTAATTACACTGCACTACACTACCTTACGCTAGACTACACTACACTATACCACACTACACCACACAACACTACACGACACTATGCTGCACTACACCACGCGAATTACACCACACCACGACTACAACTGCAACTGCACTTGCAAATACACTAATTACACTACATTGCAGCTACAGCTCCACTACACTATACTACAACTACAGCCACAACTACAACTACAACTACAACTGCGCTACACCACACTACATCCAGCAGTTGTGGTAGGGTGATCACTGCAACCATTGCAACCATTCCAAAAAAACACAACTCCAACCACCTGCCGGTCCATCAGTGGATTCGCTCTGCCATCCGTGATTCACAACAACCAACCTCTCCTATATGTGTCCTGTCTTTGAAACTTCCGCCACCGCCTTGTGCGGCGCTATTGGTAAGATACTTTTGTGTTGCATATTAACATATATAGTTTGGGATGTATTATCAAGAATATTCTCCCTATTAATGAATCAAGTATGTGACTAACAAAAATCGTTAATGGTCAAAAAACATTTGGGGTGATGTTTTCCTATCCCAGCGCCCTTGGGGTTTCAGCGCTATGGTCAAAGGAGTCCTTCTTCTATGCGCACGGGCTAAACAGCTTCGCTCAGAGCCTGTTGGACTACCTCCGGTCAGAGTTCGCGGACCCGGCCGCACAGCAGCACATGCAATGGACTGGATGAAGGGGATCAACACAGTTCCGCTCTACTACGGGTGGTTCTTACATTCTGGTAATTCAACAGATTGCAAAAAAAATGCCAATTTATGCATGATTCATTTATTGGAAATTGTTATTTTCCATAGTTAGATGATCAAAAGGTAACATAGGGTAGCCCTTTTCTCGTGTTTGGTTCAGGGAATATTGCGATGATCTACATGGTTTGTTTAATCACAAAATCCACCCAGGTTCAGGGTTGGCGAATGGATTCTGGGTGAAGGATAACGACCCAACCCATATCATGGGCCACCACAGGTGGGCGAGACATTTTGGTCATGAGCAATTAGCGAACCCTGAAAATCTTACCCCCATCAAGGTAACAGTCTATTTTGCAAGTCCAGAATCCTTGGAGTAATGCTTGCCCAGTGCTTAAACAACTGTTTTTTGCCCCAGTGATGCCATGTCATGGTGGGTTGCTTTCCTTGATGGCGCCAAGACTTGCAATCCAGCCCAGCTTTTTGGGTTTCTACGTGTGTGTGATTTTTAGCGGAGTTCAGTGAACAAAAACCAAGTTGGCTAGTGTAGTCTTCAGATGTCTTTAGCTTAAAAGGAACGGTTCCCTGTTGGTGCAGGCAGAAGTGTTGACACGTCCGGAATTTTGGGAGCATCGCAACTATGGTGGCTCGATGACGGAAAGCGGTTCTTGGATGAGGGTTGTTCCAACCTGGAGTAATCCTCAAAAAATGGTGATTTCATGGGGTGGCTCACCACCTTTTCCTGATGGTATGCGATCTCTTCCTCTTGCTGAACGCAACAATCGACTTTCTCACTCAAGAAGAGGACCATAAATTTTGGGAGTTCATTTGGGCGTCAACATTTCTGGGTTCAGTTTGAACCCCTCCTTTCATGCGGGTATCATTGACCACAAGACCGGAGCCCTCCTCACATCCCAACAGATTTGAAGACATTTAAATTACTGAAACCAAGTAAAAAAAAGAACAACCATCCCCAAGCCAAAATGGGTTGCATGTTTGCCATCCCCAAGTCATTGTAGCAATGGCTTAGCACAAGAGATTCTCTTCACCTTTCGGGATGTGATTCGACAAGCTGTTCAAAAAATGGCCCTCCGACTCCGAAGTTTGACCCAAACATTGGATGATTTGTAGAACGACCCAAAAAATGACAAGGTCCAAAGGGATTGACTAATTATTGACTTTCCCCATACCATATCCCTTTCGTTCGATAGATTTGAATTTGGGAAGGGTTGATTTTCCACATTTTCACATCATTGATGGCCCTTTGGGAAGATTTTTTATATTGATGCTTTGATACATCTAGATTTCTCATGTTTTTTTACATTCCGATGTTTGTGGCAGGTTTGTTCCAGCATCTCCCGATCAAGATTTGTAGCTTCAGACTTGTATCTTCAGCTCAAAGTCTCCAGTGATCTTCCTTGACAATCGACCTGATATAATTTGGTATCTTCATAAATACCCAGGAGTTTTGCTGAAATACCTATGACATCCTGTGACCATTGCAGGATTAGCCCTTGGCTCCCAGGTGCTCTCATGGTGCAGGCCTTTCACCTCAGTGCCTACGGTCCCACGGAGCACGACCTCAGCGGTGCCTTTGTCAAAGGCACAGCGGAGCTGCGGCCGCGCGAGGGACGTGCGGAACTGGTGGGGCGTGTGGAACTGCAGTTTGCGGAGAGGCTCGAAGGCAGGTGCCAACCTGGCTGGATCTGGGTTGAGTACAAGTTCACAGACGAAACTCTTCTAGAATGCCTGGGCTTAGGATTGGATTCCTTTTTTTGGGTTTTAGTTACTGGGGGTATCTTTCATAGCAGGGGAATTATTCGAAAACAGCAGTGCATCATGGATGGCCATTCAGTCCAACTGGACTGGAGGCGACGCCTGAAACCTGGACGTATTTCATCAAGAATACAAGAACACAGGACTGGAGATATTCTGAACAGGCAGTTTGCTGTGAGAACTACGGGGGTTGTTTAGATCCGTGGGATTGAAACCAGTTGAGGGTGCTGAAAAACTCCACCTCCAAGTACGACTCCAGGGCAGCTCTGGATTCATGCAGTTCCAGACTCTGAAAGCAGGACCTTCAGTGGGGACAAGGTGCCGAAACTGATCAGTGACCGGCCAAGACCGGATGGTTTCGTGCTCAAAATATCTCAAAATGACCAAACATTTGTGGTTCCCCTTGTTATTGGGCACTCCTTGAGGGATGGGATGGCGCCACATTTTCAGCACTTCGGCCTCGACCAGGTCAGCTTTGACCTGGGATGTCGAAGGCTAAGCCGCCTGTCTGGGAAAGCGCTGGAACAGCTCTCCGGCTGGCGTGGCTCGAGATGATTTGGATGGGATGGACACTCTGGAGCCCTTACAGCGGCATGGGCTACCAAAAAAATCGGGCCTCTAATCAAAGATTCCTCGAAACGATTATGAATTGCTTGTGGTTTGGCACACTTTTGACCCGGTGACTTGGAGGACTCCAAAGTTTAGGCAGTTGTTGATCGCAGCACCAGATTTGAGGCGATATCAGCATTTTCCTAGGATTTGCCACATTTTTTTTGGATTTTTTTGGTATATCGAATCTATCGTATCACATGTTTTTTTGACGATATGAACTTGTTGAGATTTTATTGTGCAAGTGACACCTGCATTCTGAATGGTTCCATTGGCGTCTATTTCATAGTTGATAGGCAGATTTGGAATGCTCGCAGAAACAAGCAAACTGGTCATGTGTCGTAATGAATTGATGAATGATTAGGAAATATCCCGATATGGTATATACTGTATATATCTAAATGTATATGTATATGTATCTGTGTATATATATATTATGTGTAAGAAACACATGAATCCATTGGCAGATGAAAACCTTTCAGCATCTGTGACTGCTAGGCATATTGGCTCCTCCCGAAGTGCCGTCGGAGTCCGCCGGGTTCTGGGAGCGGCGCTGGTTCCGGGTGGTGCTGATGTGCCTGCGCAGGGTGATGCCGCAGGTGGGTCTGGAAGCTCTGAACCTCCAGCCTTGTGCTTTTTTTAAAGCATGTATAAGTGTTTGTATACGTATATGTCTATGTCTATATGATTTTATCTGTATGTCTATGTCTATGTTTTGTATATATATATATATGTATATATATATATATGTATATTATATATGTAAATAAATGATGTTATATCTCCTCATGAACCGTTTGAACCACATCCAGAAATTCCCAGGTGCCAACGCGGAGGGTCTTGCACTTCGCACGCCCGCCCTTTCCGCAGCAGCCGGTGCTGATCGGCCTGAGCCATGATCACATCGCGTGGCAAGACATGGACGATCTGCGCTTGCTTCATCTGCTTTTTTTTTGGCAGCAAAATACGAGGGGAAAGTATTGGGAAATACGCATCTGATATGATAGTAACAATTATGAAAATTATACATATACATCTATGTACACATTTTTTCAAAAATAATTTTGGTCACTTGAAACCAAGTCGAAGGAATGGGTCTATGCAAATCCAAAGCTTGATGTGCTGGAAAGCAGTAGCGACCTCAGCAAGTTTTTTCTTGGTTTTGGCAGGACTTTGCGAAAGGAGACATGAACTTATATATCAGTTTGATTTATTGGATTATATCCTTACCATTTGAGTTCAGTGGAATCATCAACAATGGAAAAAAACATCATTTGGAACTAAGGTGAGGAAGAGTTGATTGACCTAGTCAGCCAGTTGCAAGGCTGGGACTTGCTTCAGCGTTTGTGACAACCCCCAAATTTTGATGGCCAAAATACTCATGTTCCACAACATTACCATAAATTGAAGCTAAGGATATTTTGAGGATTTTTTTCCCCCAACATTAACATAAATTCCAATAGGGACTTTTTCCATCTTTTTCCCCATTAATCCCCACTTTTGAAGGACAAACTCGGGTTCCTTTCTTACCCTGCCAAGGCTACGGTTGCCCCTTTCGCCTTCCCTTTTGGCTCTCCGAACTTTGAGTTCTTCTGGCGCCTTGGAGCTGGTGGTTTTCGACGATCGAAACCGATGCCATGAATGATGCGGACTTCGACCTGGAACACAAACATGCCCCTTCTCTTGGTGATAAGATGGAGGATTAACCATCCGTAATGTTCGTTGAAGGGTTCCAATGGGATATTTGATGCTTTTCAAATCGTACAATAGTCGATTTCTGAATGTCGACAAGCGGACTTGGTTGCCGATGCTGGACGGAGTGCTTCATGGGACGTTGCGTTGCTGAGAAAAGTGAAGACTCGCAAGTGGTTTCAACGATGTGCCATGCTAGCAGATACAAAATGATGCACATGGGGGTGGATTACCCAGAGCGGGTAGCGTAGTAAGCAAGACATCATTTTGGATTCTGGGCACCAAATGTAAAAAGTTGCGAAATAAGACTATATCCAGATCCAGTATCAAACCATATCAAACCCACGTGGAGAGCCACTGTCAGACCCCATTTTCAAGCCCATTGATCAGCAGTAGGTGCCTTGGTTCGAAGATGCCCAGCCAAGTTGGTTAAACATCTGGACTTGTGAGGGGTTTTACCAGGGGGATCTAGATATTAAGCAATGTATATGACTGCTTGGTGGTTTCAATTCTTTCGACTTCGCATCTCAAGAAATGGACGCATGCAGCATGTGAGGGTTCAAGCTCTCCAAAAGATTTCCCCAAATCGCATTGACCAGGAACTGGGTTGTGGGTCAAAACTGCTGAAAAAATGGGCCGGCCGATCACATATAGTAAATGGCTTAACTCAAGGTTGGGCAGAAGAACTTGCTAGATTCCCTGTAAAATATTCAACCTGGAATGCCATTTAAAAACAACCCTGAACTCAATAAAGAGAACACAGCCCCCACCAAATTTCAGGGGAAAAACGAGGGTCTCTTGGAATTACACCCTTGGCATGCCTTAAGCTAACCCAGTGAGACGAAGGTTCTCCAGACGGCGTCGTGCCAGGTGGTGGTGGTCGCACCCCAAATTCAGACCATCGATGGAGAGTCCGGGGTCACTGCTCCCATCCCCACCATAAAAGAACCGTCCCAAAAGATAGAAGAGTTATTCCCTACATTCATTTTGGTTGGGTTGGATTATAGTTGGATTCCCCCATTTTCAGACAGACCCGCTTGTTTGTAGTTTTGTGGATATTAACAAGTTTTGCTTCAGAATTACTGCTGGCGGCCCCAAAAAAGTGTGATGGTGATCTATCTACAGTTCCAACTTTTTTTGGAATCATTACTGTAGCTATCCCAAAAATGAACAGATCCAACCATAAAACATTCAAACTCATTGCAGCGCTTCAAGAATGGCAAACCAATTCTTTGGGTCCCATGAGGCCGGTGACGGAGGAAGATCGAGAAGCAGCAGTCGCCAAGGTGGGTCAGCACCATCCCATTCACCAAGCATGACTTGGGGGGTCATGATAGACATCCAACATCCATCAACATCCCATTTTCTAGGGATATCGCCAAATATCGCCAAACAATCAGGCTCCCATTGGGGATCCTATAGCCTATAATTATCCCATGATCCAATGCTATCCCATGTATTTCCAGATCGCCATAGGGATTTCCCATGTCCGAGCATTTTCCCATGTCGCTTTACCACTGCCATATTTTCCCGGGATCGGTATCCACTGTGGGGGGAAGATGATGACCAGTTTTTCGGAGAAATGCATAGAAACCTCTATCCTCAAGATGTAGGTCGACCTCTACCTATGTACCCACCGAGTCATTTTATTTTTTTGATAGGACAATATATGTGTATCCGATATGTAAGATATACAATGTATACAATACAATATATATATATATCATCTACACAATACTCATCATATATACATTTACATAGATCCACACATATATACATATACAGATACATTTATACATATACATGTACATATACATATACATGTACATATATATACATATACATAATACATATACATACATATATATACATACATATGTACATATATACATCAGTACACATATACATATATACATATGTACCCAAGAAGAAATGCGCATGACAAACACGCAACAAGGGAGGATTCCAAGTAAACTATAGATCTTGGACCTTAGCGAATCAAAGTTGGTTTGCAACCAGTGTATACTGTAACTGTGGTCTATGGTAGTAGATATATCTGTACTAACATGGGTTTATAAGTCAACTTACAACTGTGGGGGCCGGGTACCATCTTGTAGGATTGTTTTTCTCCTGATCACACCTAGATTTGGATATCTGAACACATCATCAAACTCAGGGTTTTCAGTGCCCCAAAAAACGGAACTGACCAACCGACTCTCGCTTCGAGGCAGAAGAACTCGCTGAGGCGGTGAAAGCCAAGGCGACGCGCTGTCCGCTGTTGATCGATGGGTTGCTGAAGATGGACACGGCGATGTTTACGAAGAACCATTCATTTGATTATAGTGAGTTGCCCTGTTTATGTTTGATGGAATTGATTATAGTATTGGTATATTCAGTATTATGAATAGGTGTTTCATGACTATAGGTGTTTCAGAATTCATAGGTAGTATACCAACGATTTTCCAGTATTACCGTAACAATGGTTATCATGAATTATGACAATGGTGAAACATCTATAGTAACTACTTGACATATCTTAACATCTACATTTAACAACTATAGTAACATATAGTAACTACTTAACATCTATTGTCAATATAATAACGGCTACTAAGAATTGATGTTCGAATACCCATCGTCCACATCTCAGGCAGAGGCGGACGAGGCTGCGCGCATTGCTGCGGAGGACGTGGCATCAACCCGATGGCTGCTGGATATCTCCAAGCTTTGGTTGGCTATGTATTATATATATGACATATAATGATACATAATATATGATATATATATAATAGATAATCATCCTGAAGTAGACAGAGATAGAATATTGATTTTTCAAAACTCCCCACTTTCGAGTGGCAATCATCCTGAACATTCTATCCAGGAGGAAGCAGCAGCAGCTGCTGCTGCGGCGGCGGCGGCACAAGAAGAGGAGACGGGATGAGCCGCTGCGGTTTCACATGCTACGGATGTGCCGACGGGTGCTTGAAAAAAACACAAATTCAACGCATATATTGGAAATAGATGGGACCTTTATGGAATTTTTGTTGCAGCTTGGAGTTGAAGGTTATGTAGGGGCATGTTTTTTTTTCCCAAACTGCACTCAAACTTGGCCAATATGATCTGATCCAATGTTGGAGGTGAGGAATTTGAACGGCCACAATGACATGGTGAGTCGTAAATTGAATGGATTTTGATTGCCTTGTGACAGCAGCAGAGATCAAACATGTGGGGTCTGGGTGTGATATTTGAGGGGATCCAGCTATTCCAGCGGTTTGATGTGAACATCTAGGCATCTGGCACAGGCAAAAAATTAGGTTGAAATTCAGAGTAAGGCTAGTTATCCTCTGGTAAACTAACATTTTTTTTTTGGGGACCATAGTTCATAGCAAACTATGAACTTACCAGAGGGATCCAGAGGGTATGTCTTCACCAAGGGCCCAACACATCCAGCTCCATCCGTTGCTTCACCTGCAAAATTGCAACCCGAAGCGTTGAAAAGTTCTGCCGCTGGATGGTGATGGTGCTGGTGCAGCAGCAGAATCCGATGTTTCATGTATCTTTTTCAACATCATCCAGCGATTTTAAGTGATGCGCGCCACTATGTGAGGTTTATGAACGTTTATGAACGTTTATGAAAAACGTCTATGGTACATTCCAACAGATGATTGCTGAAGATCATCTTCCCCCACTCTGTTGGATCACCAAATGTCTCCCTGGTCCCTTAAATGTTGCCAGTCCTGGCCAGATCTTTTCATACCGACCTGTTTTCCGGATGTGGATTTGGTGGAACGGGGCAGATGCTCCCAAAGGACTTATATTTTTGTGTGGCGAGCCACCAGGTTTAACCACCTTGTTGCTGAATATATATCTCCATGCCCTGTTGCTTATATCATATCCATAGAATATCGGGGCTCCCTGTTTATGATCTGCTTCATAATTCCATCCAGCTGTAGATATCTCCACAAAACCAATTTGCTCGCCAGGGGGGCCCTACCTTCAATTATTGCTAGTACTACGACTATGTCTTACTACTATTATTGTCGTGGTCCTTCTCCTCCTCCTCATTATCATCATAATAGTAACAACAATAACAATAATAACACTTATAACAGAAATAACAACAATAACAACAATAACAAAAATAACAAAATAACAAACATAACAACCATAACAAAAATAACAAACATAACAAAAATAACAAAAATGACAAACATACAAAAATAACAAAAGTAACAAAAATAACAAACATAACAAAAATAACAGAAATAAGGAAAATATAAATAATAACAATAGTAACAATAATACTGTAACAATAACAACAATAACAATAATGATAACAAAAATGAAAAAATAACGAAAATAACAAAAAATAAAAAATAACAAAAACAACAAACACAGCAAAAATAGTAAAACATATGAGTAATGACAATACCAACAATACCAACAATATCAACAATATCATCAATATCATCAATATCATCACCATCATCATCATCATCATCATCATCATCATCGTCATCGGTAATTCAATAATATTACTATACCGCCATTATCGGGTGTTTCAACCACCACAACGCGCTCCAGTGACGGCCACGCCTTGTGATGTTTTGGATGACTTCCAACCGCGGCCGTTTGGGCAGAAACAGGGCATTGTCAGGCGCTCCACGTCGCGCCAGGACCCGGGAACCTGACTTTGGGGTGAATCGTGATCTGGCTATGGATCAATACCTATACATACCATTTTTAGGATGATGAACATCCATAAATCCCAGCTATTTTGATGTGAACTACAGGGGTACAAGGTTTTGACACACTGCCATTTGTCCATGAGGGGCTGCAGGTCAACATGTTTCTGTCATTTCAAGTCGCGCAGTGAGAGTGAGACGTGAGGATCGACAAAGAGGGGAAGGCTCAGTGACCTGAAATCATGAGACTCGTCAGGCCCGAGAGGGTCCATCTTGAGGGTTAGTCACACCAATGCTATACGTATGATGTTTAGGTATGGAAATTTAGATTGCTTGCAGCATCGATGATTTGTCGCCATAGCTGCTTCTGTCGAGAATTACACAAGTTTCCGCACAAAATACACATAGCTTTACTGTACACCCACACTTCAATTTTCGTGCTTCCGTTTTGGTTGGTTGCTGACTCACATTGTTTGATTCTTTGTGCACAAAATGCTGGTTCAAGCTCATTGGCTTGTCGTATGATAAGCTGGTTCATTGGATTGTCGGGTTACAATCGGTCAACACCCAGGTGGGTAGTATCCGCCTCATGTGACAGTTATAAAAAAGGTTACAACTACCCAATACCTGATTCTGATAGCTAATGGATTATGGGCCCAATATCCAATGAATTGTATACCAATACCAATTATAATCGGTTATAACCTACCTATTGGATTATAATAGTGTCTGTCACCTTTTTTACCGCTCTAAAATTTGTGTAGCGGGTGATGAATCCCCGATCTTCGCCGACTTATCAAGCTTCTGTGAAGATTGGATCCATTAGGGAGATGGGATACTCAATCTGATATTGATATATTGATATATGATATATTATATAAATTTATATGATCAATATTGAATAAACAAGACTTCACAAGAAACTTCACTGTTTTTGATATGTGTTGATTCACTGACCCCCAATATTTCCTGCATTTTGATCTATATCCATGAAACTACATGACTCTTTTCAGACTCGAGACTTCTGAAATTGGCCTCAAGTGAGATACAGGTGAACGGATGATGTCTCCTCATTGTTGCAAGTTGAACCAGTTACAGTAATCGTAGGTGAAATCTCCTTTTGTTGTTGGTTGGATAGTTGGATCCCGCATTCTTGGTGCCCAACATCCCATTGTTTTGGGTGTTACTTGGACCATCCATGTAAACATTCTTTTTAAGCCAACCATCCTGTTTTTTCACCAATGGGTCACTGTATACCCTCATGTTTGATCATTTTTCGCAAGTTCCATCCAACATTTCATTGGTATTCTCTGAAAATGTTGGGCAAACCCCCCGTCCATCCACTGGTTCATGATCATTTCCCCTATTATTTAATTGCTATTTGGGGGGCACATCCCATATTTTAATACACATCCACATCATATAGTTTTTTTTCTTTCATGATCTTTTTATATCCATGATATCATATCCATGATATCTCTATTAGTCTATGATATCTCTATGATATCCATTCATTTCGTTCATTTTATATCCCGGTCTTCTATTTTTTTCAGTGGAAATCTCCCTTTTTTTCCATTTTTTCTGTAAAATCCCATAGGTTCTTGATGAAGCTGAGCAACGAGAGCGTCGTGGTGGAGCTCAAGAACAGCACCGTGGTGCAGGTCCGGAAGAGCTGGGAGAGCTGCGCAGCCCCTTTCAAAAAGGCGTTGGAAGGTTGGAAAAATGGTGGGATATCAAGGGGATATCAAGGGGATATTTCTGATACATGGAATATGGATGAAATTCATGGTGGAATATTTAAGATTGATACCTTCGGGTGTCAAGCATGGCTGGGAAAGCCCCGAAGTAGCCCATTGAGGTCAAACGCATCGAAGTCAATGGATGATGCTCCAGCAAGCCATGTTTGATAACACCGGAGTCAAATCGTTCAGAATGGCTTTTTGTGACCAATAGAAATGGGGACTTCAAAGATTAAAATTGCACTGTAGCCTCGCCCACACTGGATCCCATCCTCGTCTCCGAAGGGACAGCTGAGCGATTCAACGCTACAGAATTTCAGCCATTTTTTGAGAAAATCATCTCCAACTTTCAGATTTCGTCCACTTGCCGGTTGATGGTGGATGATGGTTGTGGATTGCCAGTGATCTTTATCGCTTTTCCATTAAATTGACATGGTCTTTCGCCCAAGAGTGAGAGGTCCCAGGCAACCCAGGCTTATTTTTGTCAGCCCCAGCCATGCCAAAATGTGAATGTCCTGGACAGGGAACTATCACCGGTGCGGGTGCTTAGATTTGGGCGGGGACATAGATGTCCATTGATGTCCATTTATAAAGAGGGGTACATAGCTCCTGTGAACATTTTTGAAATATATATGTATATATTGTATATATTGTATATATATATATATATGTATGTATGTATGTAATGTAATGTAATGTAATGTAATGTAATGTAGTGTAGTGTAATGTAATGTAATGTAATGTATGTATGTATATGTATAATTATGTATACATATGATCTATAATTTGATATTTTAGGAAATGATGGAAACCTTGGTAAGCGTACAACTCATTCCCGTGAATTCTCCAGTGACCATGTGTCTCACTTCAGTGCGGCAGCCCCGGGCCTCCTGGACTCCAAGGTGTGGATATGTCGATGAACGTGCACATGAAGAACATCAAGTTCACCGTGAAGGGCAAACCTCCGGTTTCCATGGATCACCTGACCATCCGAGGTAACAACGTACGGCGGGGAGGGCCCAGATGGCGGACGTTGGATGGGAGAAATTTCTTGGATCGCCATCATGGGAAGAGTCCTGTAGCATTTTCACTTCTTTCTGATTTCAGAGTCATCACTTTTTTGCCTCAAAAAAAGTGCAATTCACTAGCTCAATCCAGCTGAATCCAGCTGACTTTCTGATTTTTCTTGATCATACCCTAATTAAACATTGACTCTCGGAATGACAATTTGTTCTTGTAGATGAACATTGTCTTCCAACCCCTCATGTTAACCTCCAGTAAACGAACATAACTATGGAAATCCATAGGTTTCCCTTTCGGAAAAGATCTAGAAATGCGCCAGCGAGCGATAGCCAAGGTATGTCATCCTCCCTGATAGCATTCCCTTGGACACTTTGTTGGTGGACGATGCCAAGCGTCTTCCCAAGGCCTCCGAGTATTGAAATTGCTTGATTTATGGCAATTGATAGGGTACTGATAGGGTGCCGTATTTTTTTTGGGTGTATATATATATATATTATAATATGGTAAATCAAAACGATGTACCCAGATTGATTTCCTGAATCTTTCAGTCGCTGCTTAGTGGTGAGATGCCCATTTGCCGACTCAGTGGATCCGCAGGTGAAGTCACTTGCAGGCCGCGGTCGAGGCAGAGGTCGTGGCCGTGGCACTAAGAAGAAGTGAGCGACGACAAGGGGTTGACGGGGTTGGGTCTGCCTCGAGGTTAGGTGCACTGGGTATCCGTTCTTTACGCACAGGTTGCAAAAGAACGGTGAAAGGCTACAGAACCAGCTAAAAGCAAGAAAATACCGTAACATCACCAACTCTTGTTCCACCATAGTGGTTGGAATGTCAGGGTTTTGTGTTCTGCAGAGTCTCTCAACCCCGGCGTTGGTTTTGATGCTGCAGAGCTAGACGGCGAGCAATGCACAGCTTGTCCGCGCTCCAAAGGTTTGAACGAAAACCAGACTGACATGCCATGCAGTTGAGCAAATTTCACATCATTTTGGGCTAAAAGGAGCAACACAATTTTTTGTAAGTTATGGATGAGAGAGCCATTGAAATCATCCTACCACGAGTTTCCCATAGATCATGATAGAATATCCCAACCGCAAACTCGTCAAATGAGAGTGACGTTCCGCCCAATCCCCATGTCAATCTCCCACTGTTGTGGGAGTAGCCAAGAGGTAACCCAGGATTGTGGATTCAGCTAGGATAACTACCGATCAACAATCATTTGGCTGGAACATATATTCATTGTACTTTCCCACCACTGAGGATGAGGTTGAGATTTGGGGTTGCCATGAAACGACCAAGATGACACTTCAGAATACACCAAGAGTCGCTGGAGCAAAAACGAGCCAAGCCGACGTGGGTCGACGCCCGGACGCCACGTAATGACCACCAGAAGCGGTGCACAACTTATCGACGCAATGAACGCTGCGGAAAAAGGGTGCCCTCTCAGGCGGTGCTTGGTGAAACACCTGTTGCATACCATTGCCGGGTCTCATATCCGCCAAAGTCTTAGGGACCATATCCGCCAAACAATGGGACATCAGGCGAGTATCAGACTATTGTTCATGTGTATCACCACATCATAGCTGTGTATCACCGCGGGTCCTTGTGTGCAAACTATCAACAAAAGGCAATAAACAAAAACAAAACCAGTCCACCTTGCACTTCATAAGACTGAAAAATGGCGACGGAACATGTGAAGCAAGGACCCCAATGTCTTTGACTGTTTCATCAGTTTCATCAGCAGAATTTCTAGAAATGGAGCAAATTAAAGTATGCCTGCACGACAGTTGCAGACTGCAAGCCTGATGTATTTCAAAGGGTTGTGTGTGTCATTGTACATCTCCTGCATTTGGGCTTGTCCAAGAACTTGGTAGTATATTATAGTATATCATAGTATAGTATATTATTGCACTACCAAATATTATAGTATATTATGTATATTATGGTAGTATACAAAATATTATGGTATAGTATTCAATATATTGCACTTTATGACAATTTCAATGAGCAACATGTCAATAAACCATGCAATTTTGAGGTTTTCCTGGCATTTTCAGAGCAGCCCATTTCGGACATCACCCTTTTTGGTCCCTTGTGGGTCCCTTCAACTGCTGTAGATCAAAGAGGCCCAAGGTTGGTAGCTATGGCCGACCCTGCCAGATAGGGGTTGGAAGATTAGTTTTCACAATTTTTCACATGTTTCCACCAAAAATTGGTGATTTTGAGGGTCTATGTGAATTTACCAGAGGGTAAACATGGTAATTTTCCGTGGACCATCTAAGTTCTTCCAGAGGGTGTTCTCTCTTCCAGGAGCCGAGCAAAGTCTGAGGATGTGCATTCCAGGCATCGTAAGTGGTTAATAACCATCAGTAACCCATGCATAACTGGGGTACATCTCACACATAGCTCGGTTATAATATGGTTATCAGCAATTACCTACGGATCCTAACTGGAATCCAGATCCGAGTAGAGAAGATCATCCAATCGAAGCATTCCCAGCATTGTGAAATTGTCAGTCTCATCTCCAACCACCCCCTTGCCCGCCGCAGCGGTTTTCCGTTAGCACCTGGACATGTTGCTTCCCTCTTGAAAGCAAACAACATTTGCTTTCTTTAACTCTCCCTTTGGAGTGTGACCCGGAAAAAGATAGAACAGTAAGCTATCGTGGCATTTTAGTGGGATTTCACTTTCCTACTACCTTTTTGGGGAATTGCCAAAAAACGATCATATTGTTCATCACCGCAGAACACCATGGCACCCTTTAGTCGCCCTGCCAAGCTGCTATGTCTGTTGGCCGTGTGCCAGGCTGAGCGTATGGGATATCTTAATTTAACATGGAAGCCGGACCAGGGGGTCAGGAAACTGATTTTTGTAATGGGTCTGTAGGATACAGTGATTAGTCATGGGAATCAACTAGTCCCTCCCAAAGTTGTTGCCTCATTTGAAGCTTTTGGAGGGTTGAAGCCCCAAAATTACTGACGAACCCCATTTTACAAACGCCACAGTGAGATTGTGACAAAGACGCCAACCGAAGGCTACTAGCAATCAGAAATGGGATTCTACCTGACTAAAATGGCTTTGTGTCAAAATAGGGCAGTGCCAAATTTGATGGTTCATCATCATTTTCCCATCGCTGTAGGTGGTCCGGATGCCACAGCGCCCGAGCGAGGCAGTTTTTGGGTGACCTGGAAAAAACTGCAACATTCGGCCAGGAACCCCACGCGCCAAACTGGACGAAATCTTGGGCTTAAATTCTCTTCTTTGTGATTATTCTCGGTGCGACCCTGTGAAAACCTAGGTTTTAAGCAAGACAAAACATGGTGACGGGCGGAATGGGATGACCAAGCACTGGAGATTCAGAACTGAGGTGTTTGGAGTTGCCTGGTGGCTCCCAACTAGATCAACTAGCACATGGAACTAAAACCGAAGTTATTTTGGGGATACCCCCAAAATCATCCATTTTAATGGGATTTTCCAGTATAAACCATCCATTTTGAGGGATCCCAAATCGAGATGTCGAAGCATTTCTAAAGCGAAACAAAACACCATGCGTCGGCTCCTGCGCAATGGCATTTGGCAGCCGCGCTGCGCCTCGAGCAAGGCGGTTTTGCGTGCTGAATTTCAAGGATTTTTAAGATTCTGAAATTCTGACATATCTGGCACGAAGTTATACTGATGATAGTCATACTAATAATGATGTCAGAAATTGAAATTAGATGATAGTGATGACAATATTGTAGTCATAATAGTAACAGCACGAATAATGAGACGCGTCGCAGGCGTGGCCCAGCCTCGCCGTGCTGGCCGTCGATGCTGAGAGCGAGGTGGTGCAACAGATTCAGCAGATGAAGCCACAGCAGGTCTGAGATCCACAGCATCCCAGGCATCGTAAGTTGTCTGCAATCCACATATAAATGGTGTATATAATTAAATAAATAAATAAATAAATATATATATATATATATCATGTATATATATCATATATATATACATATCATATATATATATATCATATATATATAATATATCATATATATATATATATCATATATATATATATATCAGATATATATATATATATATCATGTATATATATATATCATATATATATATCATATATATATATATATCATATATATATATATATCATGTATATATATATATATCATATACATAGATACCTGGCGATATTCGATAGATCTACTTGTAACGGATTGAATTGATATGTTTTTACAACATGTTATTAACCACTTGCCTTGCATTGGATGCAGCCCCAAGCAGCATGGGGAAGATAAAGATGGGGATCGTACCTGAGGGGCTGATTTCAGTTTTGTGATGCATTTTAGTGTTACAAAAAGCCAGGTTGCATGTCTTTCATTCGATGTACATATTTTGCTTCTTTGTGAGACATTCGGACACGACTTGTGCAACTTGGGATGAGCTGATCGTGTTTCACAGTAGAAATGGGCCATGGCTTTCACATCTGAATCCCATCCCCTACTCAACACCCCCCGAGAAACCACGGTTTAATAATGTTTAATAGGGGATTTCCACATATTTGGCACCATAGAATGGGGGTGTTTAATATGAACCGATGGGATTAGTTGGCTTCGCTAGGTTGAACTGGCACCAAAAAAAACATGATTCATCAGATTCATCTATCAAATCTATTCTTCATCCATTATTCCATGAATTTCCACGATTCATCTATGTTCGTCTACCCGGGTAACCCGCGACACCCTTGGTTTCACCATCGACGTAAAAAAGGACATGGAAACTCACCATGGCCAGGTGATGTTGGAAACCTGCGATCAACGGATGAGCTTCGCCGCGCAGGAAGCGGGCTCGTGGAAAAGGGTGAAATATGGGTTAATTATGGTTAATTTATGTTAATTTATCCAGAGTTTCATGGTTAATGAAGCTAAAAAAACAACAATCATGGGTGAATCTTGACATTTGGCAAGTTCAGCCTCTGGAAAAAAATGGGATACTTGTGGAACATCACTATTTGGAAACACGGGTAAATCAGAATAAATCAAGAGAGGGTATGGAGATCATCCTATGCTACAGGTGGCCGTAGCATGGACTGGAGACCGAAAAAAAAAAGGGTGGCCTTTGAAAAAAACCCAAAACATGCCAAAACACGTGGGGGCTACTTACTACATAGATATTTGGAGAATTTTGGAGATGTTTTAAAATGGATCCCCAGTCGTCGCCATGGTTTTCAATACCCGGTATACCCAACAATGATTTCCATGTGGATTGACACCCCATCACGTAACTCAGCGCGCGAACGCCCACAGGAGAAGACGGGAAAAGATGCTGAAGTGCAACTTAGAGTTGAGAAGATGGCTTTTGTGTGTCCATGGGGGAAGCCACAGCCATGTGTGGGACAATCCAAGTTCAATCTTAAAACATCAACAGGTGAGCGATGTGCACGGAATTTGGGGGTAGTTTGGAGTCTCCAAGCTTGGCGAAAGGTATTGGGACTGTATGGACTGGGTATGGCTCAACAGTACTATTTATCTACCAACTTGGGTGGTTCGAAACTTAAACACTGCAATACAAATGGTGCTGCGTTTCCAAGGATTCTACGCGTGTCTGTTGTACGTTGTCTGCTAACAGTGGGTAGTGAAGCTTGATAGGCAACCCTTATGGGCATCTCGAGCTGCACACTGTGGTCATGAGCTGCACACTATGGTCATGAGACGGGCATCATATCATCCATATCTGGTGCATAATTCATCATAATTCATCAGATACACGTTTTACTAGGTGTATGACCATCACTATCAGCTAGAATCAGGTCCACGTGACACACTTTTCTGAGATCCCTTTTCCCTTTTGTTCATGGGTTGATATCCGTGCGTTTGTCGGTTGAATTCACCGTTCGGGTGTCTTTTTTCTCTCACGTCTGAGAGGGTCAAATTCACATTTTTTGTTGGCGAATTGATATGCATTTTGCATCATTTTGCTACGTAGTTAAAAACATACTTACTGCTTAAATCTCTATTTCTTCGACTGAAATCCAAATCTTTGCGGCTTGCATCATGTTAAATGCGTAGTCTTGTTGCTTAAATTCCAACTCTTGCTGGTTATATCTTCAGTTTTGTTGGTTCAGTCCTCATATATTTGCGGCTCAGATAATTTGTGTAATGTGGCAAATCCAATCATAAACAACCAACAAAAAGAGGTACTAAAGCCCACTTGGGGATGGTTTATCATATGAATCCCATTATTATCCCCTAGTTCTCCCATATGGCTCTGTGTCAAACCTTCATGGCACCCATAGTAGATGATGATCCATCCACATATAAAAAAAATCGAGCGCAATTGTGGGATGATACCCAGTTCGTTCGATGTTTTTCCCACTCAAACCTCCATTTCTGATGGGGATTTCCCCATAATTTCCTATGATTTTCCCGTTGACATGTCCATTTTTCATGGGAAATTCCTCGAACAACGGCAGGGCCGAGCGAACCGAGCGCCCGTAGGCTGTCGCATGTGGACGCCATTGCCTTCGTCCATGGTGGCCTGCGCAGCGCGCAGCTGCGCGGCTTGAGGAAGGCGGCGGAGGAGGCGGGGTTGCCATGGCCGATTTATGGATCTTATGATGTGATATTCTTATCAATGATCTATATCATGGAGAAAATTTCATCTATATTCATATTATGTATCATGGAATATGGGCTAAGGATATCACTAGATGATATAATACTAGTATAATACTGGAATATTGATCAATAGATGATAATGGGATATCAATAGATGATAATGGAATATTCATAGATCATAATGGGGATATCATGGATGATTTACCTATTGAAATATGTTTTACCTATGATAAACATGATGTATCTTGATTAATAGATGATACTCAATGGAATATTAATAGATGATAAAGATGACGATTGTTGATACACATGATGATATATTTATGATTTATGAATGATCTATAGATGATTTACCTGTTTAAACATGGTGATTTTATTGGGATTTATATAGTCGAATATGAATGAAATGTGTAGATGATAAACATAATGAATATTGATTCATAGATGATACACTGATGACTTATGGATGATTTCATGGAATATTCATGGGATAATACTGGTATAATAAAGGGATATTAACAGATGATAAACATGACGATTGTTGGATGATAAACATGATGATGTATCTGTTAACAAATTGTGTTTTTTCCACAGTTAAGATAAACTATCGGAGGGTAAATACCTTTTTGATCATTCTTGTGGTTTGATGGAATATAAATGGGATATTAATTTGTATATTGAGTACCTTTTTGATCCTTTTTGTTGGTTTGTGGATTGTCGCTGACATGACGACGCATTGATATTTGAAAAGATTTGAACGAGATGAAACAGTTGGAGCCTGATCAACAATTCAAAGACAGTGAGTCTATTTGGTTGTGCTCCGCAACATCTTGGGGTGATTCTGTCAAGCCCCTTTGCCCTACCCACGAACAGATCCAGAGTCTGTGGCAATTCGCCTGCTAGCGACAGCCACTGTTGCTGGTCTTTTCGCACACCGTTGGCCGGGTGTAGGGCGCATGCTGGGGTGCTCTCCTAACATCAGCTGTGCTGGGGACAGGTTTGGCACCTAGTCTTTCTGGCCAACGCATCCTGATGTCAGGATGTATGACAGCGAGACGATGCGCTAAGGTGCTCGCTGGGGGCTTCCAGGCTATTCCTGGCCGGCATGTTGTGAGGGGAGGCCAAAGTTTGCAGATGACAATGTTGCTGATTCCCTTCTTGAGTGGCGGCGTGCCTTCCTATATTATGAACTATGGCAGCTGCGGCCTACTGTTGGCTGTTGTCTGCCCTTGCCATGTGTCTGATTACCGCTCACAGCAAAATGATAGCCACAATGTCACAATGTTTTTTGAGGGATGTGGATTCCGCAGATGCAGCATCATGATGCACCATGCGCATTTATGCTACGTCTGCTAAGTACCTTTTTGATTCTTTTTGTTGGTTTGTGGATTGCGACTGGCATGATGGCGCATGTTCTTGAGAATTTCAGCGATTTGAACAACATGTAACATGAGACATGTGGAACTTAATCAACAATTTCAAAGACAGTGAGTTTATTTGGGTTGTGTTCTGCAACATCTTGGGCTGGTTGCGCCAAGAACCCTTGCCCTACCCACAAACTGATTCAGAGTCTGTGGCAATTCGCTTTCTTGCGAGGGCCACTGTTGCTGGTCTTTTCGCACACCGTTGGCCGGGTGTGGGGCGCATGCAGGGGTGCCATCTCAACATTAGAGTCTGGTGGCTGGTGTGGTACCTAGTCTT